ATTATTATCATTATTATTACTATTGATTGGATGTTATTTAAACAACATTGTTGTTAATAATAAGCGTAATTCATTCATTCACTATTATGTATGTATATATAACTGTAGAACCCGATGAAGGAGTTATCGAAAAGAATATTCTTTGTCCAGTAACCATTCTTTTGAAAAAAAAAGATTCGGAAAATAACCTTAATAAGCAGAAATGTAGGGGGGTGGGGGAGAAATAAGAGTCACATCGAGAAACAAGAGGATTTAATGACCTAAAAGATTACATAGAATGAATGCATCTGAGCAACGGAGAACAGGTTTGAACTGTATCACCAAATGGTTCCACCAGCCTTTGGTTCTTACTATCCTAAGGACTAAAACTAGACAGTCTACACACTTCCCTATACAGGCTAACTCAAACCGACCAGGTTTCGGTTACACTACCCCTAAACGCTTTTCCATCATAACCCTAATCAGATAATATTGCTTGTCGAGGAAGGCGATGGCTCAGTATGCGTAATACGTTTCCTAATTATCTCAACAGGTACAGCTTCATAATCTCATCGATTGACCTGCCTTCCTTAAGTAACAGTCTACGCGCCTAACCACTTAACACGGGAGACTAGCCTTTTAACATCTTCCATTCCCACAAGTATGGTAGGAGAAATGAAACAGGACAAACAGAAAAGAAGATAAGGGATTCATGTATCTACATAATCTACAGAAAATTCACATACTCACAATGGAATTCACCTTTTCCAGGTATCTCTCTAATAAAGTGCAATTTAATTAGACAAGCAACTAACTTGTCAAACATCAAATCTAATGATATCAAGTAAGATTCATACACGAACACACAGTACTTAATTAGTCATCTTGATAAATTTGTATTCAGCAGTGGCTGGCTGGTTTCAATGTAGAACAACTTTGCAAAGATGTACACCAGTTCCAGTTATCACACTGCCTTTCCATGCAGCACACAAAGCAAGAGACATGAGTAAAGAGAGATTCAAAACAGAGAGAGATATAATAAACAGAAGTGGGAGTGAGGGAAAAAGAATAGTAATATGCAGGAACAATAGAGTTCTATTATATATAATGAATCACAGGGAGTGAATGAATCTGCGACAGCCATATCACCAATTGTCTCCAGTCCTCATTGGTTCTTATCATCCCGAGGACCCCAATCAGCCAGTCAGGCAGTCTACACCTCCCTCCCTACGTGACTGGCTGGCTTAAATTAACTGTTGTGGATTTCATTGACTCATGAAGACACGTTTTTGTTTGACCACCACTAGCTAGCTCCTTTCCGACCTCATCCAATCTATGTCAGTCAGCTAACATTGCCTGTCTGTCGAGGAAGGTGATCGATGGCTAGTCAGTCATGCATCCGTGACACATGTCCTAACCATCTCTCTCAATCGATGTAGTAGCTTCGCAACCACCTTGTCGATTGATTTCCCCTCCCACCTACCCACCACTCGACCACCGATGCCTAATCTCAATATTGCTTATCCGATTATACCACCACCACCTAACACACATTACGAGATAGAACGCAGGCACCTATGATCAAAGACAGCCAACCTTTTTGTGTCTTCAACTTTGAATGGCCATGCCTCGCTCACAGCCATAAATGAGGACGGAGTGAAGTACTGCTGAGCAGAACACACGTCCTTTGCTCGATAACGTTTACTAAGCCACAGATGGCGTATGCTGGTGTGTACGAAACGAGCCTTCAGAAGTACAGAAGAAATTATAAAGACAAGTAAACTAACAACATACGAGATGCAGACAATCGTAAATCAGAAAACGATGACAGCAATACGATGAGAAAATTTAGAAAAAAAACTTACAGTCTTGTCAAATTAGCAAAAAATTCCAAAACCATTGAAAAAAATATTCTCAACAGGGAAGGGAATGAAGAAAGAATCAGTTTAAACTCACAAAAAAGTGTAAACTGTCAGCTAAAAGACCTAGTGTCTGCTAAGCCAACACGATAAATCCTGCAATGATTGCGTGACCAAATATATAGGTTGAAATATTTAGAGCATAGTTAATCAATTGGACTCTGCCCCGACCCTCCCCCCTCCATTTTAAATATGCTTGGTAGATGACAAACTAGAATAAGAGATCTATAGATAAGCTCAGACATAGCATCACACACACACAAAAAAAATCGTACACAATCAGGAAAAAAATGGGGTAGAATAAGCTGAATTTCTACTGTAGCAACTTAGTAGGAGGATAGAAGAGGAGAATAAAAAAATCGATAAAGTTTTATCTAACAGGTCATTTCAATCAACTGTTGTTTCAGGTTGTTTTTTTGGAGAATTCTAACACTTCCCTCTAATGTAGAAATACAAAAACTCAAATTTTAAATTTTTGGGGAATTACTCTTCCTTACAATGATGAACTCAGCATATTGTGAGTTCAAAACACTTATCCAGCAAGCTTGTACTCAGAATAAATCTTTCACGTTTCATAGAGTGGAGATATACGGAATTATTATTATTATATAATGTGTTAATTCATTCCCTACTTTCTAATGACAAATATTAATATTAATTTCCAAATCTTCTATAGAAAAAAATTCCATTTATCTATATCCCCTATTTAGATACCTGTCAATGATTTTTCAGTGAGGTTATTAGCCTCATATTTTATGCATAATCATCGATCGCCTTAGAAACGAGAAAACGTAGGTAGCGAGTACATTTCGTAAGAAAGAAAACTTCAAGTGAATACTTCAAGCGAACGGTACAGATAATGAAAGTAAGAAAATATTAAACAATCTAACTGACTGGTTTCAACGTAGAACAACTCTGCACAAATGTGCGCACCAGTTCCACATGCCACACGCCCTTCTTGTAGTACACAAAACAAGAGAAGAGAGATTAAAAGAGAGATAAGTTTGCACCAGCCATCGACAACGATGATTTTGAGCCATATCAGCAATTGTCTCCAGCCAGCATTGGTTCTTACCATCCTGAGGACACCAACCAGGAAGTCTACACCTCCAACCAATAGCTACCGCCTCGACATGGTGGTCGGGCTCGCATATCACAAAGACTCAGTAAGGTACACTGGCTGAAACTTATGTTTCTGCAGATCATACCATGTTAGGAAGATTGTTAGGATAGAGATTAGACAAAAGCAGTTGCCGTACTGCTGGGATGTAACAGCAATAAGGTGTTTCCCTTAGATGACCAGCGTGCCGGCCAGCTATGCCGACTATGTCATGTCTCTTCACTCTGAAAAGAGGGGGTTAGAAAACTTTGACCTCAAAAATTGTAAACACCCACTTACTCCACCTACGGTGGTCCGTAACCGGCAGTAAGTTACTAATACAGAACCAAACCAAAAGCCAGTTAAGACGGGAAGTGTGCGACCTGCCAGCCTCAAGCAGTTGTCTCCTGAGCTCTGCGGTCACGCAACATTAATTCTGTTTCTATTTCAAGAAACTCAAGAATTAATCAACTGTCACGGTGTGAGCGACTGGGAAGTAACAACCGGCCACACACTTTCAAAAGCCGAAGAAGCCTTCCTGATCATTAAACAATCAATCCTAATGATATTATACGTCTATCTAGACTTGTGCTATTCACCCGATTATGTGTTGTGGTAAATAAAGACAATCGGAAAAACTAATTGTAACCAAGTTACTCGGTAAAGACTTTGAAAATATTAACTTATGAGATGCTCTTGATATATGAAGGGGGTGCTGGCACCAAACTAGAAATCCCAGTTGAATTAAGCTGACGACCAATAAGCCACATTATGATTCAGACAAAGGACAAAACAGCTGTCCAGTACTCCCTGAAGGTTTTCCAATGGTTCTCTAACTGATGCCAGCTCAGGATGAAATCTTGTAACCAATCAATCAAATCCCTACAAAACCAATACTTGAATATCAATGAGATGCACACTAGCGACTGGCCCTATTCAGGCAGTTACCTGGGGTTCTAGTGAGAAGTCGTGACCAGTAGGGTACAGTAGGTCGGGTGTGAGGATTAATACTCGCCAAAGACAATAGCTGATGGTCGCGCTGTGTAGTGAAATGGCAGAAGTTGCAATTCATGGGCCGTTGGATCGGGTCTCAGTGGCTTAATAGGCTACGAGTTCGCTGGCCTGGTAACGTAGAAGGTCCTGGGTTCGAACTCCTGTAGTGTGTGCGTACTAATGAGGCGTCAGTCCCAGACCAGGCTGAAAAAACAGCTTTCCAGTACTCCCTGCAAGTTTTCCAATGGTTCTCTAGGTGATGTCAGCTCATGATGAAATCCCGTAAGCAATCAATCAAATCCCTACAAAGCAATACTTGTAAGTTTAATTTGTTGAATTCAACGTGTTAGCCACTCCATCAAGATTAGGTTGACTGACACAACCTTGAAGTGGTAACATACCATCCATCATCGATAGGAAAATAGGTTCTGTTTTTTGTCTACCAGACTAGGGTATCCATGAATTTTGTGATATTAATACTGGACAGAGTCCTAGGGATCATCTGTAATAAACAGGCAGTATTGGACGGCTATTTTATCCGATTCTAAGAATCTACAGTATTCCACACCCACGATTCCAACAGGGGTCGAAGCAAGGACGTGTTACATTACGAGATGAAGTGGATGTATATTAAAGGCATTTGGGTTGAGGATAGCACTATATATCAGTAATTGACAAAGTTGGATCAGACAATAGGTCAATGAATTCTGGCACAAGTGTCCAAAATGATTAACGAACTTTTTCCTGTAGCCTGAAGATTCTAGGTCCGATCCATGGTTGGGTAGTGTGTGTGGAATGCTGAAGAGTACCGAATCAGGGTGAAACAGCTCCCTGATTCATAACTAGATTTAAATTTTTGCATTATTATTCCTCTTCATTTACACCTATTTCTTGTTATTTGAAGCTGAGAAACGTGATTTCACTAGTTTATAGATATGATCAAAAAAGAATAAATGAAAACAAAGCTGAGTAGAAAAATTTTAAAAAAAAACATGAAACAACAAATTTACCTTAATTATTGATTCAAGGATTTCAACTCGACACATTTCAGGCCATGCAGCAGTTGTCTGATATAAATCCACAGCAATGAGTAAAGATTTCTCAGCGAAGACAATATAATTGAGTGGGACAACATCAAGCTATTTCAGATTTAAAAAAAATTGTTAATTAAGGAGAAATGAGTTGAGAATGCAAAAGTTAAGTCGAACAAAAATAATTACAAATTAGTGATGATAGATATTCCCTAAAAAAATCCTCGCTTAAGTCTACTAGCTCACTAGTTTTCTAGCCGGTTCCAAATCAGGGAGAACAGGGGGAGGGGTTGGGCGTGTGGCTGCCGATCCTACCCCAGAAAATAAAACAAACTGCTACAGAAACTTTGACGTACAAGAAAAGTATTAGAATATACAAAATATTAGGAGCAAATTATTCTTCGCTGGAGTCGGAGAGGCAAAATGACATGGGGCTGGTGAAAGCCCAGCGTTCGGAAAGCCAGTAGGTCAGCGGACGTGTCTTTCCGCAATGAAAGCAAGAATAAGAATGGGCACACGGAATGTACGTATAATGTACGAGTTTGGGGAGGCTGCCCAAGTAGCCAAAGAAATGAGAAGATATGGAGTATAAGTGCTGGGTATCTGCGAGAGCAGATGAAATCGATGTGGACTAGTCAAAGTGTCAACTGGAGAGTCAATAATCTACCTCAGTCACCACCTACACACGACAACCACGAGTACACTGACGCAGTAAGTGGCTATCATGATGTCACAAACAGTAAGCAGACAAGCTCTTATGTGCAGTGGTAACCAATCTCCTTCTAAAGGATAAGAACAGCAAGATTCAACTCATAGGGGAGGAAAGGCACAACCACCCAATGATACGCACAATGCTACAAACGACTCAAAAGAGAAGATGAAGAAGAAGAAGGAAGATTTCTATAGACAATTGTAAACAGTGCTGGACAACATCCCGAATACCGACATCAATATGGACAATATGAATACCAGCCGAACTGGGAGCAGACAACACAGGGAGGAAAGTGTGAGTAGGAAGAGATGAAGTGACCACACTGTTGACAAGGTGTTCAATTGTTGTACTCCGTATGAATTCACTGCTACCTCCCATTTCTATAACCATTTGGGATAATGCTCTAACAACACCTTTCACATAGGATACGCATCAAATGACTACTGCACTGACATATCATCTTACATTGAATAAGGGCTAAAATAAATATTGGACTATTTGATGATGATGGTTATTCCTATTATGCACTAGGTGTATAGAATACCCAACAGTAATCAACTAAAAACAAAATACTTCCCCTTATTTATATCATACTTGAATGGTGATCTGGGCAGAACTACTGTCACATTCGTATTTTAGCAGTTATTCATAGCTAATGAAATACAACCATATACAGTCAAACTCTGGGGAGTGAGAAGACAGGAATAGGCTGAACTGATCGATAAGAAGACTTTAGTAGATCTTGATTACCCGCGTGGATTATGTATGTCTAATGTCACACAAACTCGAAGAATTACAGGCGAAAAAGAACAATTTTCTATAGTTTGGTTTGTAAGGATTAGTTATGTTTTACGAGTTGATCACGGACTGATATCAGTTAGAGAACCATTGAAAACCAGGGAGTACTGGACAGCTGCTGTTTCATCCTAGTTTGGGAATCATCGGCAGTACTCAGTATTCTGATGCTCGCTAGTGACTTGCTACAGGTTGGAGCTTCCTGCAGTTCTAGTGAGAAGTCGTGACCAGTGAGGTCCAATTAGAAGTCACGTGTGTGGATGGATGTCCCACCAACGACAATAGTTGGGGTCGCGCTAAAATCACGAATTGGTAGAAGTTAGAATTCATGACCCATTGAATTGCGTCTCAGTGGTTGGATGGTATACGAGCTTGCCTTGTAACCGGAAGGTCCTGGGTTCGAACCCTGTCGGTGGGTGTGTACTGTCGATGATTCTCAAACTAGGATGAAACAGCAGCTGTCCAGTACTCCATGGTTTTCAATGGTTCTCTAACTGACATCAATCTGTGATCAACTCGTAAAAACATAACTAACCCTTACAAACCAAAGTATAGAGAGTTATAAAAAAGGTTAATTACATAGTCAAAACGGGCACATAATTTATATGCATACATTCTTTTCAAGTACTTACTCTATGATTTTTTAGTTGATCTAGTTTAGGGATTTGAACAGCATAACCAGTCAATGTAAGAAGCAGTTGAAGAACACGTGGAAGCAATGACGATGATGAACTATTGTTATGATCATTATTATTATTATTTTGTTCAGAACTAAAATGCTGTAGAAAGTGATTCAATCAAAAATTAAAGTAAAAGACATCATATAAATGCACATGAAAATAATTAGTAGTACTACAAAACCTATAGGAATACATACAAAAATCTCTGCAATGTGAATGAACTATATTTGTATGATGATTAATTTCTAGTTTTTATAAACATTCAGTATATGATTTTCAAATCTCAGTTATATATATGTTGAAATCAAGTGTTAGCATTCTGTAAATTCGGTAAAAAATGGTAATGAATCTAGAAAATACTTACCGATTTTGTGAGTAGTGGAATGAAGGATACGCATTTCGTCCTCTTAGAGACTCTTCAGTTCGGATATACTTGTCAAACCCCTGAGCTATGAGAACCACACCTTGGATAACTTTTAAGCATTTGAGATAAACGGAGCTGGGTTCGAGTCCAATGGGAATACCGAGCCACTCACTGATGATGCATTCTGGATTTCAATGCTCATCACAACCAACCCAATTCATGCTTACCTAGTAGTCATCTACATGAATATTTCTAGGATTCCAGTATAGTTTTATTATTATTATTGAACACTATACCTTATTTCATCTACAAAGTGATGACATTTGGACTCAAGCGTAGTGCAGAGACTTGAAAATCAAAATTAAGTTAGAGATGTGATATATTGCTCTGGGTTTGGGTTCGAATCCCGCTTCAACTACCGAGGTTTGGTCAACCAGGTAGTACCACTAACATTTACACAAGACAGGTGTAGCTCACTGACTGACTGACGGACTGGTTTCAACGTATACCTTTACGCTGATGTGCAGCAGTTCCAGTTGCCACACTACCTCCTTGTAACACGCAAAGCAAGAGAAAAAAGTAAACACAGATTCAAAATGCAGATGGAGAGAGATAATAAACAAAAATCCCGAGGACCCTAACCAGTCAGGAAGTTAACACCTGCCTCTCTACGTGACTGGCTGACTTAAACTAACTATTATGGATTTCACTGACTCATGAAGCCATATTCTGGGTTGACCACAATGTGCTAAATCCTTCCCAACTTCATCTATCCTTTGTCAGTCAGCTGACATTGCCTGTCATCGAGCAAGGCGATCGATGGCTATTCATGCAAACGTAACACATGTCCTAGCCATCTGTCTCATTCCATGTAACTTCATAACCACCTTGCCGATTGATTTCCCTCCCCTCTCCACCTACCCAGCACTCGACCATCGATGCCTAGCCTCAATATTTGTCACTATTATAACACCACCACAACCACCTAATACACGCGGGAGATAGAACGCAGACACCTATGATCAGAGACAGCTAGCCAGCCAGACTTTTCATGTCTTCCACTTTCAATGGCCATCTTCACTTACAGTCATTTAGGAGGATGGAGTGAAGTGCTGTTGAGCAGTTAAAACACCCTTTGGTCGATTCACTGTAGTTCACTGCCAACTGCGAGGAACTGTAAGTGGTTGTTGAGTAACAATTTGTATATACATATACAGTACAATTCATTTAATTTAAACCAAACACGAAACAAAAGTTGAATTGCAGAAGGGTGCAAACAGTACTAACCAATATTCTTACAACTGTACTACTATTATTAATGAATGAAAAAACAAAATAACATTGTTTTTACTGATGTTTTACTAAATAATGCTGCTAATCGTTTTGCAAAATCTTAGGATACATATCGTTATTGAATCATAGTTTTCCTCTATTATATAATTCTGCTTCGTTAGCAAGTGGATGAATTATTCCCCACCAAGATAACAGATATGCACAGATTGTTGGATGTTACATGTATGAATTATTAAAGCCGGCAGATACTCACAAAATGAGAAAAGTCTCAGGTTAGACCACGGATTGATATCAGTAAGAGAACCACTGGAAACCGACACTAGAGTACTGAACAGCCAGCTGTTCCGTCAGCGTAGTTTGGGACCGACGCTTCATCAGTATGTACCCACCGTCAGGGTTCAAATTCGAGACCTTCCGGTTAAAAGGCAAGCTGATAGATCATTCAACCACTTTGACCCGATGACCAACCCATGAATTCTAAATTCTACTAATTCGTGAGTCATAGCGCAACTGGCATCAACCACTGTCATCGGCGGGAACTCCATCTTCACTCCCAGCTGGATGAACTTCACTGGTCACGACATGTCATTAGAACTCCAGGAAACTTCATCTTGTAGCAAGTCACTAGCGAGCATCAGGTTAATTTTCAAGAATCAGTCTGTAGGTTGTGTGCTGCTGATAAGTCCCGAACTAGGATGACGAAACAGCTGTCCAGTACTCCCTGATGGTTGCCAATGGTTCCCTAGCTGATATTGTGGTGAGAGCTGTCTACTAGCCAAATTAGTAGACGATAATTTACGTCAATATTTACGTTCCCAAGATTTGTCGTGAGAAACAACCAATCGGAAGACTGTGTTTGTTTGTTTACATATCCATATCCTCCGTGGTTTAACCTGAAACAAATAGAATCCCTACAAATTAAATCTTGAGGAAATGTCTATCTTATGTAGGCCGACAGTGTTACTTTGCCGAATGAGGATGTTATAACCTGACATTCTTGTCTAGATCATGCGGAATCCATAATGTGTGAAGTAAAACTGATATGCGACTTGTCAGCAGTCGAATCGAATTACTCCTAATCTTGATGTCTGTAGAAGTTTGTCTAACCATTTTATTTTGTAAACACAGACTTATAATCTTTTGGAACTTACCATAAGAAATTCATGACTAATCAGATGATGAACTTAGCACTGTATACGATACCTTGATTGAAAATAGCTATCCAGACAAGTTCATCACGAAGCATATGACTAAGACAGTTGAAAAGGACTATCCGTAAACAAGAAGCCTTTATACACACGACTGCAATTCAAGGGCGATATACCCAGCAAAATAATTACTAACAGGTTAAGAAAATCAGTTCAAAGAACTTCTAGTGCTGGTACACTAAAAGTCTTATTCTCCACATGACCTGTGGTGATTTCCCCAATTGAAACATGAAGTACCTAGACTAGCTAGCCACTTCTAATTGTATTTATCAATTCAACTTCGATCTTGGTGTACTGGCCGTTGCAGTAGGAACTTGATTATTCGTGTTTGCTTGAGACTACCTACATGTGTGGTGTGGCTAAATAAAGGTGTAGTGAAAACCACTAACAGCTCGATATTAAACCGCGTGGTCCAAATCAGCCATAAAGCTAGCATTGAAGGGTCCTTCTCTATCATGTACCGGGTATCAAATAAATTGCCAAAAACATCCAGCTACTGCATGCTCGAAACAGTAGAGGATATTGTGATCCACCTTAAACAACTGGTGTTCTGTTTGTTATGAAGCAATAGGTCCAGCCAGCCACTACTACTACTATTACCCTGGACGGCCTTCAGTGGAGACTAGAAATTCATGAATTCTGCATTGTTATTTTCCCTGATTTCTCTGATATTCAGTGTACAGTGTTATCAAACTGTAATCCGTTATTATTATTATTAATTAGATGTTATTTAAATAACATTATTGTTGTCGTTGATAACACTAATTCATTCATTCACTATTATGGATGTATATATAACTGTAGAACCTGATGAAGAGCAGGTTATCGAAGAGAATATTCTTTGTTCAACAACCACTCTTTTGAAGAAAAGAACTTTTAATGGGCATCTATAAGCAGTCAACCAATCAATCAATCAATCACAGAATCGTTATATAACATTTCAAAGCAAAAACATAAAGGATATTTTTTGAGCATAAATAAATACACTGGGAAAACAAAAAAAATTCAAATAAGCTTACCTGAACAAGACAATTTAAACACCGTAATACTGACTCTTGTAGTGAATTTAATATACCATCATCAATTATTGTTGATGATTGTGATGTCATCGAAGATAAACTAGGATATAGGCAGGCGACATACAATGGAATTAATACACCGATTTGAATTAATTCCTCTAAACGATCAAAATCTTTAACATGGAAATTCACTTTGATGTGATCAAATATTGGCAGGAATAAATCAAAGTAGAGTGTAATGAACGATGTACTCGGAAGAAATATATACGATGGGTGATTAATCTGTGTAGAAAAGAAAGAAAAAAAGAAAAAGAAAATATCTGATGAGTCGCAAACCAGGACGAAACAGCTGGCTGTCCAGTACTCCTTGTGGCTGGTTTTCTAATGGTTCTCTAATTGATGTCAGCCCTAATGATGAGATTCTGTAAATAATCCATTAAAAAGGTTTAACAAACTACCTATATTTTTTCTAATCTGATAGATTTTCCAGTTAGGTGATTGGAGATTAATTGACAGGAGGTCATGGATCTCACCATCAAGGTGTATCTGCAAACTTGGAATAACTGATGTTCTTTTAGATGCATTGATTATTGATCCCTAAGCAGTTACCAATGTGATATTTCTAAATATATACGCGTAAAACGTGGGCATTGTCGCAGTATGTAATTCCATATTAGTTTGTTTATTAGACATATCACACAGTGGAGAGACAGTACTATTTACTGGCTGACGACACCTTCCGAACACACAATTTATTGTTCGTAATCACTTCATCAATTATACTCACACAACTTTGAAACTTGAGTTTTATAGTTTTCTGTATTCCTTCCTATTCGTTGTCGTAGGGGTAGCAGAACTTTCCAGATGTCTGGGACAGGTGTTGAATCATTATTTATTTATTTATTTATTCAGACGCAGAAAAACTTGCTACAATATGGTACCAAGAAAATGCACCACACAATAATAATAAAACAACATAGATTAAAAGTAAAAGTATAGGTAGAGAACGGATGAAGAAATTCATCTGGAAGGAAAACAGTCATGTTTAACAAGTTCAAACAGTATTCGTTAGCTATCATCAGGAAGGGAAGAAAGAAGGAAATTGCAACACGTTCACCATTGGTTACGATTTTTGGCCATATCCGATAACGTTTCGAACCATCGATTCGAGCTATCTCTCGGACTCCAACCAGGGAGTTGTGACGCACCAACCAATGCTAACCTAGTACAAATATCCTCCATCCCACGACGCCAGATCATGAACTGACCACCTCTCCACCTTTTCCATCCCATCACAGGGCTACCGAACAGAGACCTGTATGAGAGCCTCGGGGAGGTATTCGCAACACATGTCCAAGCCACCGAAGCCGGTATTCGAAGATGACGATACTCAACAAATGGTGATCTTCAATGTGTTCAAACACACGCCACCAAACCTCAGAATTACTCATGCGATGATGCCATCGAACGCAAGCAATCCTGCGGAGACAACAATGATAGAATACGCAGAGCCGCAGCACATCCTCAGCTCGGAGAGGTCAGGTTTCACAGGCGTAGAGCAAGACAGTGCTCAACGAAACACTGTATACCCGACCTTTGACAGGCAGGCTAACGTCGCCAGAGGTAGCTCAATTTGATGTATGCCACCCTAGCCTTCATGATAAGGTTGAATTATTCCTGCCACACGTATTCTCTTCAGTCGATTCGATAAATAAAGCTTCAGTTATCAATCTCTCTCTCCAACCTGTTAGTTGTATTACATTTTGAAACTGTCATCTTAACCCATCCGATTGCATGTTTGTGTGTAATTCCATGTGGTGTAGTGCTCTAGCTGAATTATTCGCCAGATTTCTTATCTTATTCATGGCAACTAATCTAGATTTTGCTGTTAGGTTTTTATGCTCCGCTAGTCTGACTGACTGATCCTGTTCTACTACTTTGACCTATGTGTTTCACCTGAAAATCAGCACAGAGAGGGTATTAGATAAACTAAATTGTTCAGTTTAATTGGCCCCACAGGACTGATCCTTCAAAGGAAAAAGCTTGTTTCTAATTGAGTTTGTGGGCAGTTTGAATGCCAGCCATTTTTATTCCTGTCTGCATTGTTAAGAATTCTCCACTTCCGAAGTTCCTTCTTTGTATGGCAGTACTACTGATGGCGATTTGAATTCTCTATTGTTGATGTTGTCATTATTCTGTGCATGTTTGACGCGCAGGTCATCATTAACATTACTATCACTACTATTATTATTTATTTTATGTTTACATTTTCTTACATACTTCCTGACTAATTTATCAGGGTAAATATAAAGTTTCAAAACTTCACTTATATGCCTCACTTCCTGTCTTAGAATTTCCTTTGTACTATTTGGTTTTTGTGTCCTATAACTTAAACATTTCGCAAGTCCTATTTTTATTGACATAGAGTGGGATGATCCAAAATCCAAATATCGGGTTGAATGTGTGAGTTCTCCGTTAACAGTAGTGTTTAGCTTCCCACCTTCTTTCCTTTTCACGCTGCAATCTAACATTGGAAGCTCCCCTTCCTGACTTTCCAATTTATAAGTGAATTGAATTGCCTCCACCTTTGAGTTGATGTGTTCGAAAGATTGATTTATGTCGTGTGTTCTGAGTACAGTGAATGTATCATCTACATACCTCCAGTATACTTTTGAACCTTTCAATCGCTAAGTTTTTCCACCTATCTGCCACAATCAGGGATATTGGTGACCCCATGACAACTCCTTCAGTTTGTTTGTATATTTTCCCTTGAAATTTAAATACTGTGGAAGTTATGGGGTTATAATCGACGAAACGATTATGAAAAATAAATTGTATTTGAAACTTTGTCATCTAGTAAATAATAATACTGTCTCTCCACTGTGTGATGTACCTAAAATAAACAAATTAACTGTGCTACTTTTGACCGAATTCTATCCAGCTAAACCTACAAGAGTGTGAGTCGGTGGCACAATGGTAGAGTGCTCACCAACCACGCCTCGTGTGGTCTGGGGTTCGATCCCCGGACGACGCACTCCTAAATCTTGTTAAGCCAGTATTAAGACTGGTAAAGAGGGAAGGTTGAGCACGAGCCCAGCAGCAACCCCATCCTGTAAAAATAATCAGCACTGCTACAGAAACTTCAAGTCTCTAGCTTGAAGCCCTATGATCCAGTGGGGACGTGAAGGAATAAAAAACAAATAATACATAAAAAAGTCTACAAAATGGTCACCGAGCTGAGTGATTTACCGTTTAGGCTTTCCTAGCGTTTAACATCTTAGTCATAATGGTTAATTATATGATAATTGGTGGAGTATAAATACAGAAAATAAAAACTCAGATACTTTTAATTATTTTGAAAACTTTATAGAAGCTTTGAATTTTTCTTGGATCTTAGTTACTTAAATAGTGACGGCAACTCGTTTGAAATCTTCACTCCAGCATATTCAGTCAAAAGACTCTTCAATAAGTTAATCATCCAGCTATATTAAAAATCAATCAGATTGAAGAATATTCTCTTCAATTACTTCCCCTTTTCAGGTTCTTACACAATTATAAAATATAATATTTGTTGTCGTTACAATAATGATAGCCAGTTATGCGACGGATATATCTTTTACGTGGAATAGCAGATTAATTATGGGGTGGGTGGCAAAATAAATAGCATTTGTGTGACAAGCTTGCTATGGGCTAAACTCAATTACAGAATATTGTGCTAGCTTTATAGATGATTGGAGGCTATTGGCAGGAAGACTTTCCGGGACCTAAGTTTTGTGCTAGTTGACACTCACCACCATCAGTCAGCAAGGCGGCGTATATGCAACCTTGGAGGATGGAACTCATGTCCTGCGTCACAACGCAGTGCCGCTTGCAGTCGGTCAGAGACGTTACCACTGGGCAGCTATTAGGCATCCCGATTGACCACCTCATGTAGGACTGTACTGGATACTTTAATTGGACACTAGTCAGTAGCTAGTGTGATTTGCCAAGTCCTTTGCTTGATGCAGATACGCTGCCTTGCTGACTGATGGTGGTGAGTGCCAACTAACACGAAACCTAGGTAGATCTCGGCAAGGCTTCCTGTGGCCGATTGCCTCCAACCATATAGTATCAACAATTCAAAGTGCACCGTGATGGTGAGCAACATAGTGGCATGGTGGCTGCCAAATTGCAAATTTGACTGATAGAATTTAGTCTGCAGAAAAGATAGGACAAGATATATAACATTAGTTACTGACCAGTGTTCAATCAAACAGCTTTATACCCTTTCAAACATTTCGTTTTCTTTATCCTACTTTCATATCTACACTTCTGAATAAATATCAGTTTTATGTGGTCAGTTGTTTTTTTGGCAATCTATTATCATCGACGCATCATGAATTCGATTTATTCTGCATACACTAATGTTTTTATAACAGACTGAAAAGACTCAGTGACCTCATGTATCAACAAAGTAAAAAGCAGACAATAAGGCTGTTGAATGCAAACCCTGATGAATTGATTTCGGTTAAAATGTTAGTAGATGATGAGTTACAGTATACTGTTTTGGATAGTGTCCAACTTACTGTGAAACACTAAGCTGTCATAATCTTAATTCATATTGTTATTAAGTGCATCTGAACTAAAGTCGGAGAATACAACGACTCTACACTTCCTTGACGTCCTACTAACGAGAAGAGAGGATGGTTGCGTCAAAAGAACCATATTTAGAAAACAAGAAAGCAAAGCTCAGTATACACACTTTCTTATCTTTGTACCTTTGAAATACAACCCGGATCTGATCAGGTGTTTAGCATATAGAGCGACGTCCAATTGATTTGAAGATTGTACAGAGAAAGAACTCCAGGTCATCCGGATATCAAGAGAAGTTTATTAAAGCCAATATAGGTTACAATAGTCGTAAAGGTGAACTAGCAAAGGTAGAGAAAAATCCTATATTTTTACATCTACAATCCAGGGAAGATACTCCTGCTGGGATTCCTTCACAAGGTTTAACCAGGGTGATAAAGAAAACTTTCTACACTGTACATGTGTTCCTATCCTGCAGTAGCCGTCCAATGATCACCCAGCAACTTAAAGATATCTTGCCTAACCTTAGCTCTTCTTCAATGTATATACCATTTCAATTGTTGCTGTGGTTCAAGTTATATAGGGTGTACAATTAGGCAGGTTCGTCTACGGGTTCGAGAACATTTACACATTGATTCTGTCACACTTGGTCGATACTGGACATTGCATCAACGCCAACAGCTCACAAACCTCGCAGTCATCGGAGGTAATCTCAGAATGGAAGGAAGGTGTGAGTGTGAGGCTAGTAACTCCACATTCCGTAAGAAAACGCAATAACTGCTATTGAGACTTCAAGGATGGAAGTTTCATGTTCCACCCCTTAGCTCAAAGGAATGCAAAAGAGGCGACTCACTTTCTGAATATTTTCGTCAATAACATTGTTATTACTGTTGCCATTAAGACGTTCTGAAGCGTCTTTATTATGTATAATAGAATTACTGCTATCATTAGCAATGTCAGAATTACAATTAGATTGAACAAAAGCAATTGATCGTTTGCCTATTTGTAACCAAGTTTCCCAATATGCAGACCATATTAAATTAGGCGATAAACTTGATGTTGGTGAGGATGACATTGAGGATGACGACGAAATTTGTAATTCCAGTAGAACTTGCATACAGTTTAATGAAGCTAATGATATCTCCCCACTATCCATATATGCATTCACCTTTAAGTGATCCAATAGTAATTGCCAAAATTTTGTAAAATCATCTATAGTAAAAGGAAATAAAAAAACAATATACTTACTTAAAAAGAGAACAAAGAAAAGTTCATTGATACAGTTGTACAAAACTCAATATGCATAAAAATGAAGCAAATCTTTGAAACTTTCTATAAATGCATTATTAACCACCTTTCCTGATGAAATTGGACGTAAAAACAACTGGTTAATTGGTGGATGGTGACTAGCAGTGGAATCCAGGATAACGCGCATTTCGTCCTCTACTTGTGACTCGTCAGCTAGTGGATGTACCTGCATTCTCCAGTGAGTGATGGTGTTCCAACCAAGACTCGAGCCCACTGCCCATAGTTTCAAACGTCAAAGCGTTATCCACTAGACATTGTCGAAGCACCTGCACAAGAAGCCGACATGTCAACCTGAGACCGAGCACTTCGGTCCAATCAATCGACGGCAAAACTGGTTCTCTAAAGCTTTTCTTGTCCTCTTGTTAGCCTGCAGCGGGATCAGTCATTCTGTTGACCTGATATTTGACCTTTTGTTCACGTGACTTTTTCTCAATTACCTGATAAGTTTGATTTATGTGGATATGTCTGTTAAGTTCACCTGAGTATTTTATACGTTTATTCCCCATTATGAATTTGAGTTAAGCAAGAACAACACTAGTGGTTTGTGCAGAATATAAGATGGTACGTACCATCATTGCTTACTTTGTTGGCTTCCCATCAGCTGCCTACTTACAGCCTAAAGAAATTATTATTATTAAGTTTATGTATAAAACAGTTCTAACATACTTACAAAATTCACATGATGTTAGTTGACACGCCGTTCCGGACTTAGTAAGCGGTGCTCACAAAATTACGCTTATATAGTTTTTACACAGGCAATTCAAGTTTAAACAAAGTAAATGTATGCATGCATACAATGGTGAGTTACGCAATAAAGACGAGAGGTGTGTAAGATGATGAGTAACTAATAAACTAGGTGACAATATACTGAGCTTAACTCAAGTAATAGAAACGCGAGACAAGCAAAATTACACTATGTCAGAGTAAGGGGTGATGGTGAGGTTAAAGTCAAAGATTACGTAATCAAATGAAAGAGAAAAAAAATTAAGATATCCAACTACACGCCATGGCAAAAAAACATGATGCTAACTGTTTCTTTCTGAATACATAGATCGGGTTTCAGGCGTTTGATAGAGATTGCTTCTGCAAACTTGAAGAGAAATGAGCTTTTTTGACTTGATAATTTAAAATGTCCCGTATCAAGGAGATGTCTGGTAATGGCACTATTGTAAGTAAGCGTTTGTTCCCCTCTGGAGATGTAGGCTTTTCGGTACATGTTCAGAAAATAGTAGGTGTGCTTACCTTCTTCTTTCTGTTCTCTCAATGTAACTGTTCCAACAGACACATGTAAATTTGTATGCACAGTTGGAGTTAACATGAGAAGGGTATCTGTCGACTTTTGACTGCACCAAAGAGCATGTTGTTCGATGGACGGCAACCAGCTCAGCTAGTTGCAGGATAGACTCTGGCTAGTGACATACTCAAGCTTCTGTTGACCATTGCTGAAATACTTTCACCTGTAAAATCAAGTTGAATGAAGACAGGCTTTTTTCCACTAGGATTTGTTTAATAATTGAGCCTTGATATCCTCCATATTTTTGATGAATTTCTACGGGTAACCGTTGTTTTTCAACATCTTTTCGAGAATCAGAAATTCTTCATCTAATTTGTCTGCAGAGCATATTCTCCTAGCTCTATGGCATCTATCTATCTATCTATGGAGCTTTTAGGAATTTCCTGGCATTCTTAGTATTTCTTATGTTTAAAATTTGCAATCAAATATTCTCCGTTTATATTACCTTTTGAAATCTTTCTATACGCTCGGTAACAGAATGCATTTTGACTAAGAATCTAGGGACTACCACAAGGCTAAAGACAACGCTTTCCTCAAGCCCTTATGTGTTGAATAGACAGGTAAATCCTAACTGCTGTGTACTATTCAATGCCCTTATTACTATTATTACCTTGGGTTTCGAGTAGGAAAGATGGCTTCAACAGGACATCTTCATTTCACACTATTCTCTGAAGTCCTTTTCAGCTGGCTCCACGATTACCCCCATGCTGTCATTATCCTCTTCACACGATATCTCCTTCATATCAATCAACCAATTCGTTATTTACCTTTCAGGTTCCACTTGAGCGTATGTTCAATCCACCTCCACTTCTTTATATATATATATATATATATTTGTTGCAGTTGATTAGTCCCGTTGACCAAGTTCCTCATTGCTTATTTTCCCCTAGCTGGTCGGTCATCTAATGCCTCACTATCGATCCAGTAGAGGCAACTGTCAATAAAAGTCTTCAGTCTGTTACAAAATGCTTATCGTGACACGCTTGCTTGCTTGCCAACTTCTTGAACCACATAGAGTGGCTGACTAGGTCTAGGTTCGTTATGCTGAGCGCTGAGAGTAATGATGATCTCACCTGTGCCTTAACGATCCTGATAGGCTTTGACACTCACATCTGTGCCATCCATCTGTGGTTGAAACGATGCTCTTTCTAGGTAGATGTAAATGAAGAGACTTCCTTGCATAAGACTTCTGCAGTGTAAAATAATATTAATTTCCCATAAAGATTGTATAAACTAAACCTAAACTAGGTGGGTTAGAGTAAATTCTTCCATATAAAAACACTAAAACATCCTAACATAGACAAGACGGAGGTTATGAAAATAACCAACCAAAAACAACAACAACAACAGCAGTAACATCCAACGCCAATCACCATCAACGGAAGGGATTTGAAAGAGGTTACTTCATTCACTTATCTAGGGAGCATTGTCTCAACTACAGGAGGAACGGACGAGGATGTCAAATCGGGAAGGAGAGAAACACTTTCATCAACCTGAAACCAATCTGGAAATCTTCGTCACTCAGCCTGCATCAACAACAAAATTCGGATTTTCAATACAAACGTCAAGTCAGTCAGTTCTTCTATACGGATCAGAAACTTGGCGGGTCACCAAGAATATTTTCAACAGCCTGTTGCAGACCCTTATCAACAACAACTGTCTTCGTTCTATACTCAAGATCAGATGGCCAGAAAGAATCACCAACAAGAAACTATGGGAACAAACAAAACAAGAACCAATCGATCAACAAATATGCAGGAGAAAGTGGAGATGGATTGGACACTCGCTGAGGAGGCCGCTTGGTGACATCGCGCGTCAAGCCCTCGAGTGGAACCCGAAAGGGAAGCGGCGAGAGGGACGTCCAAGGGTGACATGGAGGAGATCTTGTGAAGAGGAGATGAAACAGTTTGGACTAACATGGATGCAGGTGAAAAGTACAACAGAAGGCAGAAGCAAGTGAAGACATGCACTTGAAGCCCTATGTTCTACTAGGAACCCAAGGGAACAATAACAATAATAATAATAATAAAACATCCTAACAGTTTAATTTCCTTTATCTCATATAAAGAAGTTTAAACGAAAACATAAAGGCTAAAGCTCTTGAAAAATGCCGGTAACTGTCTTTAAATGTGGTGTGATCAGGTTCTACCCTTTGAATAGACAGTTTACATCATAAAAGTAGTTGAAGCAAACTATAGAAAAAGAGAGTAGATTTTTATTGCTATCAGAGAGGGACATATACATAAGAAGCAGACATCAATTCTGAGTATAAAACAATTTGGACCATAAAATGACATGCTCTATATGCAATTACCATCATCAACAATAATCATGATGAAAATGGATCAGAAACTAAGCGCGTATATACAAAAAACCAAAATTGGAAAATCCACAGCAAATACCCATCGAGACATGAATGTGTAAGAACAATAAAGTTCAGCGAAGAGTTTCTGTTTCAGTGGCGGCGAATTCATTCACTCAGCTGTGCAAATGCATTTATATATATAGTGATAAATATTCTGTATGTCTGTGTACACACATTAGGATTGTCAAACAAGAATAAAAGTTAGTCGCCGTTATTGTTTACATCTTCAAAATGTTTCAAAATCGTGATGAATAATCAAATTGTAACTACGGGGGAAAGGCAGAAGATAAAGAAGTATTGACGAGAGTTATGTAATATGAAAGACACCCAGGAAAATAGGATGTAAGTAAAAGAGCATGGAGACAACTTGTCCAAAATAAACTATGTAATAGGTTGAAAGAGTAACTGAAGGGTTAGTTAAGAAAAAGATGTTACTAAAATGTAATAGCAACAAAGTAGTAAAACTTGGAATTATACCCGATTTGTCTGTCTTTTTTCGACATAGAAGTTTGCACCGATGTGCAGCAGTTCAAGTCGCCACACTCTCTCCTTGTAGCACACAAAGCAAGGGAAGAAAATAAAAAGAAATGCAAAATAGAGACAGTAGACAGGGATATGAGATAAAAGGAATAGTAATAACGAAGAACAATATAGTTTCATTGGAAATTGTAAATCACAAGGAGTGGATGCATCTGAGACATCCATTGAGAACGATGAGTTTGAGCCATATCCTCGATTGTCTCCAGCCGGTGATTGGTGTTAACCGTCCCGAGGACCCCAACTGGTCAGGAAGTCTGCACCTTCCTACGTGACTGGCTGGCTTAAACTAACTGTTGTGGATTTCATTGACTGATGAAGCCATATTTTGGTTTGACCACCATTAGCCTTTTGACAACCTGATACTGTATCAGCTGACACTGCCCGTCGAAAAAGACGATGGCTATGTATGCGTAACACATGTCCTAACCATCTCAGTCGATGTAACTTCACAGCCTCGTCGATTGATTTCCCCTCTTTATCTAGCATTCGACGCCTAACCTCAATATTACTCACCTTATTATACCACTTAGAACGGGAGATAGAACGCAGGCACATATGATCAAAGACAGCTAGTCTTTTCATGTCTTCCACTCTCAATGGTCATGTCTCACAGCCAGCCAGCCACAAAGGAGGACGGAACGGACTGCTGAGTAGTACACACGCCCTTTGGATATCACGTCTACACCAGAGACGGCGTAAACTGACATATGCGAAACTATCCCTCTGTATCCGTTCTGAGATTTCGTCAGCGATCAACCCGTTGACACTGGCTGATGCAGCTTATCCTCAAATAAGTGAAGTGGACAACACGCTCTACCATTTCACTCCTTATTTCTTAGCAAGGAGTCAGTGTAATCTAGTCCTGTAACATCATCTTATATTTGGTGGGATCGAATCGGGTTATCACGTCTACGTCAGGGTAATCTAATTTAATCATTTCGTTGATATAAGAATAGAATTTTGCGCATTGCAGTAGAATATAATTCTATTATGGAATCATTTTAATTGTTAAAACCAGCATACAATCGTACAATTGTATTTACTGATAACATTTCGAGGACGCTTTATGAACTCAACTACGCAGGGTAAATCAAATACAGCGGGAATTTGGTTGAGTGTAGGAAAATGATCCCAGGAAGATAATTAGCTTAGAGAAAAATCAAGTAGCAGCAGCAGCAATGAATGCACTAACATCCACCCACCCATCCACACACACACACACAGTAATATCAAATAGAGGTACATTTCGAAAAGAAAAGCTAATATATTTTCAAGCACTGGATTTGTAAGGATTTTGATTGATTGGATGGAGGATTTTATCATGATTTGACATCGGTTGCAGAACCATTAGAAAACCATCCACAGGGAGTACTGGACAGCCAGCTGTTTCTTCAGTCTAGTTTGGGACTGACGCTTCATAAGTACTCACCCGCCAGAGCCAGCTGGAACCCAGGACCTTTTGGTTACAAGGCGAGATAGCTAGTAGACCATTAAGCCAGTTACTGAGACCCGATCGATTCAATGTTCAGCTTATGAATTTTTACTTCTGTCAATTCATGACATAGCGCGACTACTTCTCAATATCTTCTTCGATAAATTACTGCCTCACCTTCATGGAAGAGATTGACCATTGGATCTTAGTTCGTTCAAGATTATATAATCTTCATTTTTGAAATATCATACGTTGAAGGTAAACTTTTATTATATAAAAATTGTGCACTACATTATTGACGTCTTCAAATGAAATAAGAACTAAGTAAAACCATTATTACTACTACTACTACCCGATATCCCATAATTAGAAATAATGGATAAAATGAGTTTAATGAAGTGAAATTGATGAGTAAAAGTCTACACTCATCAATAACCAACATTACCACCCAACCAACCATCCACCCCGACATACATGAGTTTCTCTGCATGATACTACGATCAATGATGGTGAAAATAAACACTGGTGGATAAAACATAGCCATAGCAAATAAATAATAAATAAAACAAGTGAGTAAATAAGTAAATAAATCAATAAAATCAATAAGTAAATAAATCAATAAAGAAAAAACAAATAAATGAATAAGCGAAATAAATAAATCAGTATAAAACAAGTAAGTCAATAAATAAATAAACGGATAAATAAGAAAAATCAATAAATCAATAGACAGACAAGTAAATAAATCATTAAATCAATAAAATGCAATGATAAAGATAATTGTGAAATAATGGAGAACATCTGTATGATCAGGTAGACGATATTGAAGTAAGTTGGGTTCTCTGAGCTGAGCTGAGCTAGTAGCCAGTGTGATATGTCTAGTCCTTTCTTTGGTGCAGACTGAGTTCTCTCAGTCAGGTTTGCAATGTGGCCACCATGCAACTGGGTAGCTCACCATCACGGGTTCGAATCTCAGAATAGACATGAGTTCCTTCAAGGCTGCAGATAAGCCCTGCTGACTGGACAGTGCCAGCTAGCACGAAACCTAGGTCCACGGCAAGACTTCCTGTGACCGATTGTCTCCAACCATCTAATACAGGTTATATGCTAAAAATATCAAAGATAGGTAGAACAGTGCTTTATAACGACATCTCATTTCATGTTAGTTCAGGTCTCAATGATGCAGATGCACTGACTCTTTCTCATCACCTTAATTCCTACATGTATCCATGTTACTACTATTTGTTTTCTCCCAAACATTTCTGCTTATTTTGTAGTTGTTTTGAACTTCTTTCTTTCTCTATATTGTCTACCTTTGTGTGCTGCATGGAGTGTAGCAACCGGAATTGATGCACCTCTGTGCAAAGTTCTTGTTATGACTGGAACCACAACCTAGAAGACTATGAGCCGATACTAAATTAACGTGCTGGCTAATCTGACCTAATCGCACATCAAACAGTACCAACAACAATAACAACAAAACAATAACACCATCCGCACACAACGATTGGACGTCGATATAAGAGCTTTCACTGTCACAACAACAGAAACTCTGTGTATATACAACTAGAATGCAATAATTCAGTGGTGCTTTACCCTTACTGGTCACGGATTCCCACTAGAGGCCCAGGTATCTGTCTAAATAGGGCCAGTCTCTAGTGAACATCAGATCAATTTTAAAGTATTGGTTTTTTGTAGGGATTTTGTTTGATTGGTTAAAGGATTTCATCATTAGGGCTGACATCAGTTAGAGAACCACTGAAAAACACTGTGAAGAATTCAGTGATGCATTAAAAGTATTGACAGCCAATAAGAATCCAGCAAAACAAACAGAGGGGGAAAAAAGGGCCTACGCCAGTACTCGATAAACTCCTTAAAATAGTTAAGGTTCTGGGCAAAACTAGGTGATAATAACAGTCCTATGTTGAATTTCAGACAACCATGTCTCAATTTTTAGTCACATTCTTATGGTGATGCATAGCAAGCTGCTTGATGAAGGAAAAGAATCCACAAGCATACATATCAAAGGTGGAAAACACACCAAACAATTACTAAAGTCAGCATCTTTCGTATTATTGAACACAATTATAACCATGCAAGCATGTTTGTTTTCTTAACTATTCATTGTTTTATTCTCGTTTGAAGAATAAAACATCAACGATATCAAGAGATTTTAAAATATTGAATTCAATTTAAAATTTTCCCGTCGATTGATTGGACCGAAGTGCTCGGTCTCTCTCAGATTGACATGTCTGTTGGCTTCTTGTGCAGATACTTCGACGATGTCAGGGCATTGAATTGGAATTCAATTTGTGTATGGTGACTAGCAGTGGAGTAATCCAGGATAACGCGCATTTCGTCCTATTTGGGACTCGTTATCTGGATACACCCGCATTCCACAGTCAGTGATGGTGTTCCCACTGAAGCTCGAACTCAATGCCCATAGTTTCAAACGCCAAAGCGTTATCAAATAATTAATATGACCCGTTGTACAAGGGGCAGTGGTTCTCGTGGCCCAAGTGGTCTAATGTTGAACGCCTTGGCATTTCAGACTGTGGGCAATGGGTCTGAGCCTCGATGGAAACACCATCACTGACTAACTTGGGAATTCAGATACACCCAGGAGACAAGTCCCAAATAGGATGAAATGCGCGTTATCCTGGATTATTCCACTGCTAGTCACTATCCACCAATTAGGCTTTAAAATATTTTAAAGAAGAAAGAAAAAGAGACATATGGAGCAGAACAGAATTAAAATCAACTTACTAATTTTTAATAATTGTGATTGTTTTGATATGAAACAATGCGAGACACCAGATAAGGTGAGGACAACTGTTTCAGCCCATTGTTTCGATGCTGTATCACGACTATGATGAATTAATAGACTATTCGGTTTATCGCCAACTTTTTCAACCGGTGCATTTGCATATAAATTGTGAACATTGGATAATAAAGGAAATAATATCTGTAAAATATACATACGCAGAAAAAAAGGGAAAAATTAAGCAAATAAACTGATGAGACAAATCAATACTAAAAAAAGAAAAGATAGATTATTATTATCATTAGTAGTAGTAGTGTAATGACAGAAAACAAAGGCTAGGCAACAGATCGCTTATTGAGAAAGTCAAGAGGGTATTTACAGATTTTTTATGTACATTATTGCTATCTGAGAAGCAAACTCTTCTGATTGGTTGTTTTCGTACTGAAGGTTAATCTGTCATCTCTTTGTGCCCGTTTCTTAGCAAGTCAGACCATATTTCTGCGAATCGTATTTTCACACGTTAAGTCTGCTGTGATTGTTGTCTACAATTTTGGCTTGCAGGCAGCTCTCATCACAGTAGTAATAGTAGAAGTTGCTGTAGCATTACACCGATTGAGATGGTTAGGACATGTGTTACGCTTGCATGACTGACTGGCCATCCATCGCTTTCCCCTCAACAACAGGCAATGTTAGCTGACTGACGCAGGATGGATGAGGTTAGAGAAGAGCTAGCACATTGTGGTCAAACGAAAACATGGATTCATCAGTCAATGAAATCCACAACAGTTAGTTTAAGCCAACCAGTCACGTAGGGAGGGAGGTGAAGACTTCTTGACTGATTGGTTGGGGTCCTCAGAAAGGTGAGGATCGATGATGGCTGGAGAAAATTGGTGATATGGCTCAAAATCGTCGTTGTCAATGGCTGGAGCAGATGCATTCACTCTTTGTGATTTACATTTCATATTCAGTCAAATTCTATTTTTCCTCCATATTACTTTTCTTTTTTCCTCACAATTGTGTTTATCGTCTCTTTTGGTGAAACTCTCGTTCCTCTCTTCTTTTGCTTTGTGTGGTACAAGGAAGGAGTGTGGCAAGTGGAACTGGTGTACATCAATACAAAGCTGTTCTATGTTGAAACCAGTCAGTCAGCAGTCGAAGTGCTGCAGTACAAAACGATCTCTACCTTCAAAATCAAATCATGATAGCCAAATATTTGCAGACTGGTTTTACTAATATCGCCATATATATTTGACAGAAATCTTTCTGTCCTATTATAAACCATTGAGCGTAGAATACATGGAACAAGTGTAAGTGTGCCATCATTTTTATTGTTACAATTTCTATTCATTAGCATCCGACGTAACACGTTTTGATAATAAATCGGAAGCATAGATAGAATAAAATGTCAACTCTATAATATTGTCTAAGCGCTTGATGCAGTTTTTGACAATTAACAGAAAATGTGTTATAAATCTCAATAATCACTGGTAAACGTTAAGAGTAAATGTAGCAGAAAATACCTGCTACCGGGATCATGAATCGCTTAGAATTTCATTTTGTAACAAGTCAATGATTATAAGTGGCGGTAATGAACAATATGCTGAATTCAGTTGCAATCAGGAACGTCGTTTAGTCTACTATTTCGCTAGTTTTTTAGGTGGTCCCAAGTCCTGAAAAAGGAGGAGGGTTGGGCGGGAGTGGAGCCAGCAAGATTCAACTCATAGGGGAGAAAAGGCACAGTCATCCAATGATACGCACAATGCTACAAACGACTCAGAAGAAGAGAAGAAGGATTTCCATAGACAATTTTAAACAGTAATAGACAACATTCCAAATAGTGACATCTAAATTCGTGTGGACGATATGAATTCCAGCTGAACTGGGAGCAGATAACACAGGACGAGAACTCACCATGGGTTGTGAGGCTCTTGCTCGGTGAAAAGAATGAGAACGGAGAATTGTTCACAAACCCCTACGGCTAAAACAATTTGGTGATTGGAGGTAGCGTGTACTAGCACAATCATAGGGCGACATGGATTTCACCTGACGGACATACCACAAACCAAATAGATTTTATTTCAAAACCGTTCAAGGAAGTGGAGACGCAGCCTGCTGGATACAAAGTTGAAAAGGTGAGCAGATGTGGGTTCAGACCATCATCTTGTTTAAGGAACCCTGAAAGTGAAGCTGGAATCCCTCAAAACAAATGCAAACAGACCGCAATTCAAGTTCAACATTCAGGAAATGAAAGATTCAACTACAAAAGATACCTTCCCTGAGGATTTCAGAGGAAAGTCGGGACACAACTTGGCATCACTGAGGAAACCTGCGTAGAAGAATATTGGAACTCTCCAAAGGTGATGTTTACGGAAACATGTACAAAAGTTTTAGCAAGAAAGAAGAGGGAAGACAAGAAATGGATCTCAACGGACACCTACCAGGAAGCTAATAGAAAAGAGGAGAAGGGAATGGTGAAGGAAGAGATGACTCAATACAAAGATGGACAACAGAAGGAGAAGCTGAGCTCAATGTATATCGAATTGAATAAAGAAGTGAAGAAGAGTGCTAGGAAAGACAAAAGACAATTCTACTACCCACTGTCTGGCAATTGGAGTAGAGCAGGCTGCGGGTAAAAGAGACCTCGGGGCATTATATCAAATAACCAGGTCTCTATTCGGGAAGAGACCAACCCAGATGATGAAACCAATATAAGACGTTCAAGGGAACCTGATTACCAAAGAGGAGGAACAAATAAAATGAGCTGATCACTTCAAAGGACTCTTGAATCGACTACCACCTGTGGCTCACGCAGAATTGCCACCACCAACGGCACGCACAGAACTGTCACCGAAAATCAGTCCTTCAACAAAAGCGGCAAATCTTGAATACAATAGAGCTGCTGAAGTCTGGGAAGACAGTAAGACCGGACGGAAAACCCCTCGAAGTACTGAAAACGGACCAGGAGACTGAGGCAGATGTGCTGACGCCACCATTAATTAAACGTTTGGAGGAAAAGAAAGGTGTCTACTGACTGGAAAGAACGCTACCACCTTGTCAAAGTAGAGTGATATAGGCACCTGGAAGAACTGGAGCAGACTCATTCTCAAGACTTCACGGATGATTTATGTCTCATGTCACATAAATTCGAAAACTAACAGGAGAAAGCCAAAAAGTTGGCAGAACATGTAAAATACCATCATCATTAAGCGCAGAGTCTTTCATTATTTCTTCCATTATTACTATCACTATTATTATTATAATTATTTTTCAATAATTACAGGCCTTATTTTTATTACTTGTGTGTGCGTGTGTATGGCACAATTTGAATTTCTTCAGACTGAAAAAACGTTGTTATTATTAGAAGAGAAAAACTGACTACTATATTAAGACTGCACAATTCCATATTTTAAACACATTATTATTATCATTATTTTCCCCACACTACCCTTTCCTTTCAGTATTCTTTATATGATATGTGATCTCTCTCTCTTCGTCTCATATGCCGGATAGTAATCTCGACGGGGCGCGGGTGAGGGGGGCTAAGGCAATTATGTCAGATCAAGTGTTTATACACATATGTTCTATGTTTTAGCCCGCTTATATTTCATGTAATCCTTACACACAAAGAGAAAAAAAAAGCCTATTCATTATATTCTAGAATATAAACCACTTGAATAGAAATAATTAATTACTGGTTGTATGTAAGTAAAGGAAATGGCTGAACAGTAGTAATGTTAGATGGTTGGAGGCAATCGGCCATAGCAAGCCTTGCCGTGGACCTAGGTTTCGTGCTAGTCGGCACTGACCAGTCAGCAAGGCGTATCTGTAACCCTGAAGGAACTTATGCCCCTTCTGAGATTCGAACCCGCGTCAACTAGTACTGCTTGCAGTCAGACCTGCAAAGATTGAAATTCAACTATCCTTTCTTATACCGACAGTCTGGTATAATAGTTCTTTTGTTGAATGGAATCTGAACTAACAGCTTTAGCAAAGCCAACACGATTTTTGCCCATATCGAATATCGTGTAATACTTACTAAGTCTGGTATAAAGCTTGTGTAAATTCAGTTGCTAGTATCAGCAACCATTTCAATGTAGAATGCGTGACCACAGAGTGTGAAGGCACGAATGATCTTGAATGTATACTATTTCGTCGGATTACAGAGTCTGCCGCCGTTATTACACAGCGCCAATTTGAACGTTATGTACGAATTAATATATGCAAATTTCATCCTAACTTCATTTCTAAATACTGTTCTGACAATGGGTTGATAGCATGTGAGGATTAGGATTAATATTAGGGTTAGGGTTACGGTCAGGGGTTAGGGTATGCATTAGAGTTAGGTCAGAGTAACTGTTAGGGGTAGGGTTATGGTAGGGATTAGGAGTAGGGTTAGAGAAAGGATAACGTTCGAAGAGTTTTTTTATTTTATACATATTTTTCTTTTAAATAAATAAATAAGGGGGGAGCGTTTCGTTGTTCATATAGGTGGAACCGTTTTGATAGCTTTGAACTGACCGACTGACTGACTAGTTTCAAAATAGAACTTTGGACTGATATACACAAAATCCAGTTGTCACACTCTTTCTCCTTGTACCACACAAAACAGGAAAAGACAATAAAGACAGACTCAAAACAGAGAGAGCTAATAAACAGAAGTGTGAGTGAAAGAAAAAGAATAGTGATATGGAAGAACGGTAGAGTTTCATTAGATATGATAAATCACAAAGGGTGGATGCATCTGCGACAGCCATTGACAACCACGATTCTGAGCCATATCACCAATCGTCTCCAGCCATCATTGGTTCTTGCCATCCCGAGGACCCCAACCAGCCACACACGTCCTGACCATCTCAATCAGTGTACAATACAGACAGATGTATGACACACAGTAGGTTCTATAATCGAATGAATGGTATGCATTCAAGATCATTAGTACCTTCTCTCACCCTGTGGTCGCTACATTCTTTATGTTTGCCGTAAAATGATAAAATAAAAATAATGCACCAAATTTAACAGAACGGTCTACTTCGCATCTAAGGGGAAATAAGACACGCTATACAAATTTTATAACGAAGGAGGGAGGGAATTAATTTTGCTGTACAATCTTGTCACAGAATATAAAATATCAGAGTAAGGCTACTTGAGATAAGGATGAAACTGATCAAGGATGAAATAAAACTCTAGATCGCTACAGGATTCGAACCAGCAGCCAACTAGCTACTAATCAAGTGCTCCAGAGGCTGAGTAGTGACAAGTGCTGCATAACCTTTAAGTAATCATGATTTCTCCCCATACGGTGGGATATTCCCAAACGAAATAAGAAAAACTTGAGATTATCGGACATTTGAAACAAATAATCACGCAGCCTGGCAAACGCATTATTGACAAGAACTGAATAACTCATCGCTGAAGTACTGAGTTCAACGGAATCAAGATCCTTTTTTTCTCGCTCTCTCTCAAAATATAAATATCAATGCATAGACATAGGTATATATATGTACACTAACCTTCCATAAAAGAGACGACCATGTATCTTCATCGAATCGATCACTGTGACATTCTATTGTGTTGAATAATGTCTGACAAGCAGATTTTCGAACAGCTGGTCGACGATCTAAACATAAATCTGCTAGTTTGTGGAAAACACAAATCCATAAGTCTTTCAAATCAATAACAGAATTATCTGAATCAGTTAGACTAAGCGGAATATTCTTCTCCTCCATGAAGAAGTCAGCTAAATGAAGCTAAGACAAAAAAATGAAAAAAGAAAACAAGGCGAAATGAAACTTTCATCGGGAAGATTATGTCTCAAATACAAACGGCATTAGATGAAGTTGATAATTGGGAAAATATTTCATATGATGTAAATAGCAGTCAAGTGCTAGGTAAGGAGGGGAAATCAATCGACATGAATGTGAAGCTACATCGACTGAGATGGTTGGGACATGTGTTACGTATGCCTAGTCATCGCCTTCCTCGACCGACGGGCAATGTTAGCTAACATAGGGTCAGGTTGGAAAAGAGCTAGCGGCGGTCAAACATGGCACTAGTCAATCAAATCCACAACAGTTAGTTCCAACCAACCAGTCACGTAGAAGGGAGGTGTAGACTGCCTGGCTGGTTGGTTGGGGTCCTCAAAACGGTAAACACCAATCACCGACTGGAGACAATCGATGATTTGACTCAAAATCGTTCTCAATGAATGGATCAGGTGCATCCACTCCTTGTGACTTATAATTTCCAATGAAACTATGTTGTTCTTCGTTATTACTATTCCTTTTGTCTCATATCCCTATCTACAGCATAGCTGGCTGGCATACTCGTCTCATCTGAGAGAAGCACCTCACTGCTGTTACATCCCTGTTCCGCAGCAGTACGACTTTGTCCACAGACTCCCAGCATAGTGTAAAATACTTCTTACACCATGCCGGTAACTGTTTTTGTCTAATCTCTGTCCTAACAACCTTCCTGGCATGGTAAGACCCGCAGGAACATAAGTTGCAGCCAGTGTAGCTTGTTGGGTCATTGCGATATGCAAGCCTGACAACCGCGTCAAGGTAGCAGCTATCGGTCAGGACATCTAACTACACATTGACATATTTTCAGTTATCCTAAAATTCCACTTAAGTACATGCGCGTCAATGAAAGTATTAAATTATGCCACTTCTGAAAAATAGATTTCAATCCGGATTGTAGCTTTGAGTTTATAACTTCCATCGTGAGACAAACAACTTCAAACATTTATTCCACTAAAAGAAATTAAAAATCACGTCTAAGACGAATGACTGAAAAAAAAACACCGAAAAAAATGAAGCAAAACAATTCATCTAGGTAATAAATAATGTCAATAAGAAGTTTAATATGCGTTTTAGAACGATAAATAATCTCTAATATTAGGAAAGAGTCACCGCGACAAAACGAAACATTGTTTCTCTAAACTACAACACTATAGCGTTTCAAAAAGTCACATCCTCATATTATACCAACAGGTGACTAACAGTGGAATACAGGATACCGCTTATTCACGTCCTCTACTTGGGACTCGTCAGCTAGTGGATGTACCTGCATTCCCCAGTCAGTCAGTGATGGTATTCCCACGGAGGTTCGAACCCAGTGTTTGTGGTCTCAAATGTCAAAACGCTATCACCTAGACCACTTGGTTCACTGACATGTTAACCTGAGAGACCAAGCACTTCGGTCCAATCAATCGACGAGAAAATCTAAATTGAATCCGATAATTAATAGAAACCCATGTTGCACAAGACGCAGTGGCTTTCGTAGCCCAAGCGGTCTAATGAATAATGCTTTGGAGTTTGAAACTATGGGCATTGGGTTCGAGCCTCGGTGGTAACAACGGCACTCAGTGACTAACTGGTGGAATGCAGGTACATTCAGTTGACGAGCCCCAAATGGGACGAAATGCGCGTTATCCTGGATCCCACTGCTAGTCACCATCCGCCAATTGACTTCAAGTTACGTTATCAGACATTGTCGAAGCATCTGCACAAGGCGCCGATATGTCAACCTGAGAGATCGATCATTTCAGTCCAATCAATCGACGAGAAAATGTAAATTGAATTAAACACTACCTATAGTGTTTTGAAGTTAACACGTCACAATATCCTTTTACAACACAACTGTCTATGGAGGGAATCAGCTTGTGGATGTGGTCTATTTTTTTATGAATCTTTCATGTTTTCCATTTGATTGATTATATACGGCTAATTTGAACAATTCTCATTGCTTCTTTTGATATAGGACACTAAATAAATAAATAATCAGGAAGAAAGCACGTAGTGTGGTGGTTTATTTTACTTAAAACCAGTTGAAATCTGTTTAAAGACTACAGCAAAAAAATAATAAGGCAATCAACGATATAGGTTAAATAAATGTTGACGTACAAAGCGAAAACAAGGTGAAACTTTCACTTCATATAACACGTTCACAGTTCACTTCATTTTTTTCTTTCAAAACGGATTATAAAGGAGATATGGCCTTTCGAACACTCTATCCAAGAACGTGTTTATGTTATTTATCTACCTCTGTCACCTCTGACACAATGTTTTCACTCCTTAAATAACTTTTTGTTTTATTCCTTTACGTTCCCTCAGTGGAACATAGGGCTTCAAGTTGGAGGCTTGAAGTTTCAGTAGCAGTGCCTTTTGTTTATTTTTACGGGATGAGGTTGCTATCCTCATGCCCAACCTTCCCTCTTTACCAATCTTACTACCGGCTTATCGAGGTAAAGGAGTGTGTCGACCGGGGATCGAACCCCGGACCACCTGTGCAGTCGGCGAGCACTCTACCGCTGCGCCACCGACGCCCCTCAAATAACAGAAATTACATATTATTAGATGATGTATTCTATTCTATTCAAAACACATAACCTGGTATAATATGACACTAGGAAGATGCGCCACACAATAATAATAATAACATATGAAAAATAAAAAATAGGTGGAGAATGAATAAAGGACTTTACATCTGGGAAGAATGCAGTTATATTTAACGAAACCAGACAGCACTCGTCGAATTATTTTTAGAAAGGGAAAAAAGAAAGGAAACTGCAGCACGTTCCCCATTGATTGCTATTTGTAGCCATATCAGATAACGATTTAAGTAACCGATTTGAACTGTCTTTCGGACTCCCCACCCATAGCTGCTACCTTGACGTGATGGTCGAGCTTCCATATCGCAATGACCCAATAAGCTACACTGGCTGCAACTTATGTTCCTGCGGGTCTTAGCATGCCAGGAAGATTGTTAAGATAGAGATTAGACAAACGTAGTTACCGGCATAGTGTAAGAATTATTTTACACTATGCTGAGAGTCTGTGGACAAAGTCGAACTGCTGGGGAACAGCGATATGATAGCAGTGAGGTGTTTCCCTCATGTGACCAACATGTCAGCCAGCTACGCTGCTTTTTCACTCTGGAGAGAACGGGTTAGGAAAGGTTGACCCCAAAAATTGTACATCCCGAATTACCCCACCTACGGTGATCCGTAGCCGGTAGTAAGTTGCTAATACGGAACTAAAGCAAAAACCAGTTAAGTCAGGCCGTGTGTGATCGGCCGGCCCCAAGCAGTTGTCTCTGGGGCTCTGCAGTCACGCAATACTAATTCTATTTCGAGTACCCCAAGAATTATTCAACTTCCACAATGTGTCAGCAGCCTGAAAGTAACAACTGCCCACACACTTCCAAAAGCACACGACGGCCATTATTGAAATTTATTTATTTTTATATTATTTTTGATTACAGCTTGATGCCACACCGTATTTTCAGTACAAGTATGACATTTTCAGCATGGATATCGGTAGCCCAAATTTCGCAGGCCGACCATAGATATCGGGTGTGCGTCGGCAGAGGATCGAACCCCGGACCATGTGCATGGTCGGCGAGAGTCCTAACCACTGTGCCACCGACGCACAAATGATGACATTACATTTGTTTTTATAAAAAAATGAAGGTTTGATGAGGATACAATCTTTGAAAAAAAATATGTCTACTTACAAGAGATCCAACGGCCGCTAAAGCGATATTCAAATCTTGTTTTTGATGACCAAATCGTGCTGCTGTTTCTACACAAGCTAAATAACAATTGGGCAGTAAAGCTGACAAATAATCCGTAACAATCAATTTGAAGCATTTGAATGATGTTTGAATTAAATCTATCCTATTTGGCATAAAGTTGAGAATTGGAGGAAAAAATTACTATTTAAAAAAAGTTTATGCTTTAACGGAAAACTATTTGGTGATAGGAAGTACTTCGAAACTTCTACACCTATATAAACCATGGAAAATAGAATATTGCACAATATTTAACTACTAACAGAAGCAAGTGATGGTAAGCTGGCAGTATTTTATTTCACCAAGTTGCAAACCTTAATGTATGAAAGTGTGTTGTACATACTGTATATAGGCTAATTTGACCCTCTGGTTGGCAGATTTCATCATGAGTTGACATCGGTTAGAGAACCATTGTGAAACCAGCTGGACAGCTGTTTCGTCCTAGTTTGGGGGCTCTTCAGAAGTACGCACCCACCGGGGTTGAAACTCAGGACCTTCTAGTTACAAGGCGAGCTAGCTCGTAGAACATTAAGCCACTGAGACCCGATCCAATGGCCCATGAATTCTAACTTCTGCCAATTCACGATATATCGCGACCACTAGCCAATGACTTCGATGAGTAATTGACCTCACCTTCGACCTGCTGCTTCGACAGCTTCGAACTAGAATCCCTAGTAACTGCCTGAATAGAACCAGTCGCCAGTAAGCATCAGATTGCCTTGTAACCAGAAGGTCCTGAGTTCAAACCTTGGTGGTGGATGCGTACTAATAAAGCGTCAGTCCCAAACTAGGCTGGCGAAACTGCTGGCTGTCCAGTACTCCCAGCTGGTTTTCATTTTACAGTTCTCTAACCGATGTCAGCCCTAATGATGAAATCTTCCAAACAATCAAACAAAATCCCTACAAAAACCAATACCAACAATAATTCGACCCATATTTGTTTCAACAATCATAAAGTCAGCTTGATGTTCAAAAACTTGTGAAATACACCGATTCAACTACATCTGCATCTCTCTCATATCAGTCTTTTAGCCTTTAAGTATCAGACAACACAAAAATCGACAAATAATCAGGAAAATGACGAAGTAAAGAACAAAGATATCTCTGAAGATGCTATCCGGACAGACAATGAAAGCTTCTCACCCACCTTGGGGGGTGCGGGGTAGAACACAACAACACTACAAACATCCACCAGAGGGAGAGAGAAAGAGAGAGAGGGGTTAATCTCCACGATATTAATGATGACAATAACTCCAGTATCTATAAGCAATCGAAATTGTATTACACCATTTCCATCATATTATATGCATCATTGATAGATAAGATGAGATAAGAAAAATATATAAAGTCAACCATGTGTAAATGGTCTTAAAAAAGGCGACATATGTTACAAACTTTAAAGAGGAGATTTTATAAATGAAAAGTGGTATTATTATTTCAGAAGTAGACGAACTGAAATCGCGATAAAAAAAGAAGAAGAAAGCACTCATTGCTTTTTAATATGTAATAATATAGATTATTATTATTATTAGCCTAGAAATGTCTAGACTCTTGTTGAACTCTTTCCAGAAATTGATGATATGAATACAAAGAGCAGGAAAGATTACAGAAAAGAAGAAAATAGAAGAGAATACTAGTATGGATATCTGTTGTACTCAGTAAGGAAACACTATTCAGGATTTGAAACAATGATTTCAAAGTCATTACTTCTTATTTGATTCTGAGACTTGCAGCAGCAGCATCACTAGATGAATTTTCCAACAGCCTACACATCAGACTTTGATTAACAGCTGCCTTCAAGAAAAAACAAGGTGTATATCAGATGGCCGGAGAGAAACAGATATAAGCAGACAAGGAACCATCCAAGAACCCAATTGAGTCGGATACACGCTAAGGAGACCGCCGATTGATATCACATGTCACAGGAAGGCCATCGAGTGGAGTCTGAATAGGAAACGACTATTTGATGAACGTCGAAAGGTGACTTGAAGGGGATAATGTGAAGAGGAGATCTTGGAACCAGCTGAGAAGGACTGTAGAGAACGCGGTGAATGAAGAGATATGCTTTTGAAAACCCCAATATTCCATTCAGAACCCAGTATTATAAATAAATATATATATTACTGTAAATGATAAAATATACATTGTATATGACAGACAAAAAAACAGGATGCGTAAATCAGTAAAATACCTTACATTCAAAAATTCTTTCAACAATCAATCAACAAGAACTTACTTATAAAGCAAGAAGAACAGCTTTTGCAGAATACAAGATGATACCATCATTACTTATTCCGTTGGCTTCTCATCAGTTGCTTACAGGCCAAAGTCATTATTAAATATATCTACCGAAACAATTTTGACATACTTGCACAGAGTTCATTTTTAAACAAAAATCAATCAATTGATATATACACACGGTAATATATATAATATTAAACACTATTCAAAAACAATAATGATCATACACAATGAAAACTTTTCAGCATCTCGCATTCGGATGAAAAATATCCAGTTACCAGGGCAAAGAAAGACTGATAACCGCTTCTTTCTGAACGCATAAGTCAGGTTTCAGGCGCTAGATGGAAATGGCTTCAGCAAACCTAAGGAAAATTGAACTCTTTTGCCTATTAATAATTTTGAACGATTTTGCGGTGTCTACCTCATTACCCGTGTCACGGGTAACTGGATATTTTCATCTCTATTTCATCTGATTGCGTAATGCCGAAAGTTTTTATTGTATATGATCATTATTGTTCGGAATAGTGTTTAATATTACTGTATGAATATATTGTTTGATTGATTTTTGTTTAAAAATGAACTCTGTGTGTATGTCAAAATTGTTTCTGTAGATATATAATAATATATAATTTGGCGTGTAAGCAGATGATGAGAAGACAACGAATTGAACAATGATGGTACCATCTTATATTCTGCACAAACCACCACTGTTGTTCTTGCTTTATTCAAATTCATTAAAGGGGAATAAATGTATGAAACTTACTTATAACTTTCACGTATCACTCCAATGATTTCAATTAATCGTAACCAACTAGATCGTACTTGTTCACCCCAACAATGGAGTAATTGTTGAACACATTCAAGTTGTACTTCACGTACATCATCGTATACAATATCATTGGATAAAGCAGTCAATGGATCCAGTACTTTAATAGTTAATGCCTAAAGTAGTTATATATATAAATGAAATAGACAGAAACACAGAAGTTGGTGAAGATAATTTTCAAGCATTACTATTCTATAAATATACAGAGTTTCAAGGAAAACTGTTGTGCATGCTGACTGTTAGTTTTTGCGATAGGATGATCGCCAACCACTCGACTGGTACAAGGGTTCGATTCCCGACAGATAACACTCCTAAACCTCATCTGACCGGTAGTAATAATTTTATTCATTTATTTAAACGCAGAAAGACTTCGTACAATATGGCACCAAGAAGATGCGCCATACAATAATAATAAAACAACATAGATTAAAAGTAAAAATATGGGTTAGGAATGGAAAAAAAACTTCATCAGACGGCGCAAAGCACATACTATACTTACAGACATTGATGGCCAACTGATTAAGTGCCATTTGGGCGGCCTTCAAGCTATTGGCACAGTAAGACGATATTGTCTGCATACTCCAGGTCGAAAAGTCTTTCTCCAGGAAGGAGATCTACAACACCATCATGCACATCCTTCAGAGTTGACTCCAGAATGTCATCGATAGAAACGTTAGGCATAAATTTGGGCAACCCTCTCTAACTCCACTATTGGTTGGGAACAGTGATGATAGTTGGTTGTATGCTCTCACTCTACCTGAGGTGTTTCTGTATAGGGCTTTCAAGATGTTAACAAATATCTCAGGTACGTCTCTCTCTAACAGACAGTTCCAGAGCACATTTTTGTCCAACGAATCGAAGGCATACCTAATATCAAGAAACACAAAGATTGTTGGCCTGCAATACCTATGGCGGTGCCGGAACACCGTAATAAACCCAGAGAAAAAAGAAAGGTTGAGGTAGAGGGGGGGCGGGTGTGAGGCTAGCAAGCTCATCTTGTCAAAGTGCAACATCACCATCAACACACACTAAAACTTCAAGACTCAAGCTTGAAGCTCTACGTTCCATTTGTTCGTTACGCAAAAGGACCGTAACAATCCATGGGCAAAATTGAAAACAAAAGAAGAAGAAGAAGAAGGAGACGAAAAAATGTTATATCTTGTAGAAAATCCTTTCAATTCATACAGTATTAGATAAAGCTTTCTGGGTAACTCTTCATATCACCATAGTAACAAGAGTATACATATATAGATTGTAGAAGAGAACTACTCAAAAGTGGGATGTACGATTTGTATCCATTACCCGTTGTTAGCCATAATCATCATCTGATTATAATCTCTCTATCAATGCTGATTGAATGTACTCGATAGAGAGAGGGAAGGGAGAGAGAGAGAATAAAGTAGAGTAATAAAACAAAAAAAGTAATTTCTCTGGTTGAAAATCGAATATTACAGGCATAATTAAGAGAAAATTAATTAATTATAATTATCATCGAGTTTTGTTGGCTTTTATCGATAACAACAACAACGACAACAGAAGTTTCTAAGGCAGTAGTACACAGATGTACAAGATAATGCCTACTATTACTACTACTGCTACTATTACGAATACCCCTTTAGAGAATTGATGACAAATGATTATTACCAAGTGACCGTAATTAAATTTTAGATTCGAAAACAAAAAATGCCAACATTACTGCCGTATCCTACATACAGAACATCGATACACTGATGTACATTTCTTCATTATATAGCATAGGAACATCACGAGAAGAGGTAATGAATCTTATACAATGTAGTTCTCAAACAGGGTAATATTTAGTTAGATCACTAATCTGAAACGAGGCAAAGCAGCAGGACCTGATGGAATGACTCCAGAGGTATTTAAGTACAGTGGAGACAGTTTACTGTTTGCGTTAACTAACATATCAGGCAGAGTTTGGGAATCAGAGGAAATCTCGTCGGGTTGGTTTAAGTCATTGATTATCCCCATATATAAGAAGGGAGACAAGTCTTCCTGTGATAATCACAGGGGAATTAGCTTAACTAATATGGTATCTAAAGTTCTAGGCCCAATAATCATGCGTAGACCAAGCGGTCCACGGGAGGAACAAATGCGAGAGAACCAGACAGAGGGTGTATTGGTCACATATTCACTCTTCGACAGATTCTGGAAAATAGGCATACTTACTGGCATCCAACAATCGTCATATTTCATGATCTAAAGGTGGAATTCGATTCTGTCGACCGAGAAGTACTCTGGCGATGCTTGGTTGTAAAGGGGATGCCGAGAAAATAAATTGCACTGATTAAGGCACTCTACTCGAACTCATGCAGTCAGCCAGGTGAGAGCTTACGGTGAGTTGTCATCTGAAGTGGTGATAACTAATGGTGTCCATCAGGGATGCCCACTATCCCTATTTCTATTCAGTTTCATCATAGATGTACTAATGGAATTAACCCTAACTCACTTCAGAGACTCAGGGATTGACTTGCTACCAGGGAATAATCTCGTTGACTTGGAATATGCAGACGATATAGTCCTTCTAGGCGAGGACGCTGACAAAATGCAGAGTCTTCTTGAGCAGTAATCTTCGGATGTTTGGAATGCGATTTGCTCCCACCAAATGTAAGATGATGTTACAGAACTGGACTACACTGACTCCATAGACGAGGCTGTGAAGTTACATCGACTCAGATGGTTACGACATGTGTTACATATGCCTAGACATCCATCGCCTTCCTCGATGACGAGCAATATTAGCTGACATAGGGTCAGGTTGGAAAAGAGCACATTGTGGTCAAACCAAAACATGGCTTCATCAGTCAATGAAATCCAAAACAGTTAGTTTAAACCAGCCATGTTAGGAGGTGTAGACTTCCTGACTGGTTGGGGTCCTCGGGAGGGTAAACACCAATCATCGACTGGAGACAATCGGTGTTATAACTCAAAATCGTTCTAAATGAATGGCTCAGATGCATCCACTCCTTGTTGTTCTTCGTTCTAACTATTCCTTTGTCTCATATCTCTGTCTACTGTCTCTATTATACATTTCTTCTACTTTCTTCTCTTGTTTTGTGTGTGACAAGGAGAGAGTGTGGCGACTTGAACTCCTTCACATCGGTGCAAAGTTCTATGTTGAAAACAGATAGACAGATTTAGTTAGACGAAACAGATTTTCTGTGTGGCAAACTTGGAGCTAGATGTACTGTGCCACCCTGCTGTTGGATATCAACTAAGAATCATAACATACAATCGCAAATAGTGTAAATTAATATGACAAGGGGAAAGATATTTTTTTCTCTTATAAGCCTTACATATCTAATGGAAATCAGAAATGTCATCATTGTGAAACAACTAAGTGAACATATTATATTTGTCAAGTTTGAAGTCGGTTAAATAGTATTAGAACTCGGGAGCCAATAGTTAAACGTTCAATGCTTAGGTCAATGAGCGGTTACTAGTAAGAATTCCTTATCATTATTATTATTTTTTCCTTGAGTTCCGAGTGGAACAAAGGGTTGGCTTCAAAAACGCATCTCCACTTTCGCCCATTTTCTCCTATCCTTTTCAGATGTCTGACTCCACGATTGCCCATAATCTTTCATCTCCTCCTACCCAACACACAATCTCTTCCATGCCATCCTTGAAGTGACGACCCACTCGTCGCTTCCCATCGGCACTTCATTCGAGCAACGGCCAGAACTGCGCGCGATGCCATTCGACGGTCGCCTCAATGTATGCCTAATCCATTTCTATTTTCTCCTACATATCTCTTGAGCGATCGGTTCTTGCCTTTTGGTTTGTTCCCAGAGTTTCTTGTTAGTGATTCTTACTGGCCATTTGATCTTCAAAATTGAGCCGATGAAAGATGCAGCTCCTGATGAAAGTTTGTAGTGGCCTGTGGGAAATCCTTTTCGTCACACATATGCAGAGCAAGTTTCTGCCTAGTATAGAAGCAGTGACTGACTGACCCGACATTGGTGTTGAAGAGCCGAATCTTGTTCCTTATGCTCAGTGTGGAAGATTTCCAAACTGGTTTCACGCTGATGAACGATCACAATAATAAAATGACAATTAATGAGTTATATAAAAAACAAAAGTACATACTAGTGACCAATCATACTTAAATAGGTCAATTAGTCAGTTCATGGTAGGCGAAGGTTGAAGTCTGTTGTTTTTTGTACACATAATTTAGGATGTATGTGGATAATCCTCCAAAGTGTTTCCATCACCTTCAATAAACAACCTTGAATTAGAGTTATGTGATGAAATAATTGTGAAGCAGTCATTGATATTGATTTTGTGACCTGAGATTAAGCAGTTGTTCTTTGCATTGGATAATGATGATGGATTTCTATTCAGATTCATCGCACTGGGATTTTCTATGTGTCTTAATAACTATTTTGGAACATGTTCTTTTCGACGATATTGGAACATTATAAAGATTCTATTGATTCTACTTATAGAGGCGTCACCGCAACCGCAAATCAACTTGTAGTTACAATTTGAAGTAGAGTCTACAGAATTTCGTCCTTTAATCGTAAGTACAGGGATCGAAAATATTTAGCAAGTGAGGGAACGAGATGTGGCGTAGAATGTGCGTCTGATGTCTGACCAAAGTGTCATTGAGCTGTCACAACTGTATAAGTTGACCATCCTTGAATGGTAAGTAAATAAAGACAGCTTTGTTATGGTACAGAAGCAGTCTTTTCAAGATGTGGTCTTTCCTCAACGTGACAATTGATAAAGTTTTCAAGATAACCATTAGCTAATAAAACTGAATGTATGTATCGAAGCTCATCCATCAATGTATCACTCGTGCATATTTTTCAGGCCCTTGAAAACAAACATTTCCCTTGGATGAAATGAAGATATTGTCTGTTCCATGTCTGCATACAAAATATAGATTGCTTAACCGTTTCATCGTCTCTCCTAGTCATTGAAATATCCACGAAACCGAAGTTGGTTATTCCATCCGAACTCGGAAGCCAATTGGATATTTGAATGAATATGATTGTCAACAGAGTAATAAAGTTTTCAATAGACCTAACAGTATTACCAATAATGAGTTGTATCACGCAAATATAACGTTTATATTTTGCGTAAGCAACTAACAATACAATCCAGTTGATTAAAATAAAGTTTTAAAAAAGGTATAAATCTCAAGAAGAGACCAACAAAAAACACTTTATACGCAGTAGACGATAACAGACACCAATTTCTTGATACATATGGTCTTGAATAGGCAGAAGTTGGAATTCATTGGCCATTTGATCTAGTCCCAGCGGCCTAATGGTCTACAAGCTCGCTCGCCTGAAAATCAGAAGGTCCTGGGTTCGAAGTGGCTGTGGTGGGTGCGTACTTATGAAGCGTCTGTCTCAAACTAGGGCTGTACAGTACTCCAGCCGGTTTTCAAGTGGTTCTCTGACTGATTTCAGCTCATGATGTTAACCTTCAACCAATCAAACATAATAATTTATTTTTTTATTTAGACAAAAACGACGAATTAGCACCACTGGTTAATTGTTTCAACAAAAGCAAACACACACACACATGATTCCATTGAAACTTTTGCTTTAAGCAATTTCATGTAAATTGAAGTGTAAAATGAAAAAATTAGGCTGTATGCCTCATTTCTTTATTTAAAAAATGTTAATTCTAACAACACACACACACACGGATAAACAACGCAGCGGAACACTTACTTCATTCTGCCAAAATGGTGGATTCTGTGGAGCAGCAATAGCTTGTTTAATCAAGCTGGTGAGACAATTTGATGCTAATTGACGTAGACCAACATGAGATGATTTACATATCTAGGGATACACAAGTAAAGGAAATAAACATATATACATACATACATAATACTTGAATTCTGATTCAATGTAATATCTTAAAGCCTATGATTTTAGCTCACTTAGTCGACGATAAGTCTGGCAAAGACGTTGTGGGGCTAGCAACACCACCGCTGTTGAAACGTCAAACATTCAGCTTGACGTCATATATTTCACTCGAAACACACAAAAGACTGAGTAGAAGTATGTTAACACAATGACTTGATTAGAAAATGTAATTTTTGGAGAATACATATGTAGAAATCAATTATGAAACGATCTTAAATCTACAAAGATAAGTGAAGAGACACATTCAGGAAACCTATTGAACTTGCCTAGCGTAGGGAGTGTTAATAAGGAAATGTGGAAGAGTATAACACCATTATGGATAAGATTTTATTTTGATACAGTCACACTGTGTTTTACATTAATATTAACTGATGATCACGTTTCTAGCACAAGTTATTGCTGCTCATAATCATATCAAGGCACTACTCACACAATATTTTGCTTCATTTGCATACATTTTTATACATGTTTCAATTGAAATCGTTCAAACTCTAGGCTAACTAATTCATATGAGATGAAAAATAAACTAAATGACATTCAACTAGAGAATAATGAAAAAAGTGGTTAGTTCTGACATAACTAGTCTTTATACTAATATACCAGTCAATATGGCCTCTGAAGCAGTTACAGGTTCTGAACTTGCTCACAGGACAAAGCTGCTCAATGAGAAAATTATTTTAGGAATTCAACTATGCCTCACGTCTACTATCTTTAAATTCCAGGGCAAAATATATAGACAAACAGAAGGTGTAGCAATGGGATGGATCACCAATATTCCCAATCGTTGCCAATATCTTCATGGATGGATATTTGGGAAAATGTAGCTCTTAATACATTTAATCCTACTCCAAAAATATGGTGGAGATATGTGGATGACACTTTCACTCACAGTGCTAAAAACAGAACATATCTCTCCCCAGCTTCTTCAAACACATAAACTCACTACTAAATGGAATAAAATTCACATCTGGATCGGAATATGAACAAGGAGAATTAGCTATGATGTTAGATTGTAAAATAAAATGAACAGAAGAAGATAAACTGAACACTAGCGGCGTTTATAAGAAGCCAACACATCCTAATAGATATGTAGACTTTAATTTATCTAATCCGTTATCTGTATGGGAAGGCAGGCTTAGTTAGGTGTCTGTCTAACATTCCGAACAATAGAACTAAAAAGTATAACACAAAACCTAAATGATGAAATAAAACAGATAGAAGTCACGTTGGTGTCAAATAACTGACTAGGCTATAAGATTCATTAGGAAGATCAGAAAAGGTCAAAAGGAAAATAAAAATAATGGTGTAAGGAATAACGATAACATTATTTATAAAGGCTTTTGTAGATTTGAGGATAGCATCTTTTCAAGCATACTCGCGCCTAAGATATGTAGATGATACTTTTGTTGTGCTAAAACGAGATCTACACATAATTCACATTCTTGGTGAAACTGGACAATCTATCTCACGGCATCCAGTTCACTTCGGAAGCAGACAGAATCACACTTCAATCAGCTACCTTTTCTAGACTGCCTGCCTACTAAGAGTGCGGAAAAACGGATATTCCAGTACATATCTGTATTCAGGAAGAAAACCTACTCCAAAGAATACTTACACTTCAGATCATCACACCTCACCAGCGCAAAGCTATCAGTTGTTTCAAGTCTTCTTACACCACCACACACTTTTTGATGTTAACGGATGAGAACGAAATAGAAGAAGAAGAAGAAGAAGAAGAAGAAGAAGAAGAAGAAGAAGAAGAAGAAGAAGAAGAAGAAGAAGGAAAAATATCAAAACATTACTGAAATCCTCTTGAGAGGAAAACAACTACCCAACGAACTTCATCAACAAAATCAACACAGACCCTAAGTATGGTCGAAAACATATTCCGAAAACATGGAACTCAACAGTTGTCATTCCATATAGAGCAGAGACGTCAGACAATATCAGAAGAGAAGAGTACTCAATAAGCTCAACATCAGAGTTTTCTTCAAAACATCAAACACACTGCAAAACAGCCTTGTCCATAAAAAAGACCAAATCCCTTAGGATTCTCAATCTAATTGTGTCTACAAAATAAAATCCTTGCAATGTGATGTGATATACATAGGACAAACATCACCAGTGAGAAATCAAGGTAATCAGAAGAAATCAACCGCGTAGAATGAGTGTCTGCTCAGCTGCCGAGAAATCCAACTCAACTAGAAAAGCATGAAAAATCATCAGCCATAGGTCGTCTACGCGCAACGTTATAGAATCAAGTCACAAAATTGAGTTACAAATGCTGAAATAATCCAGAATGATTTTAGAAATCACAAAGAACGTTTATTATCATCATAAGCACTTCATATCAAATGGAATAAAAATTGCCTGAATAGGAATGATGGACTGAAACAGAATCTGACCTGGTTACAACACCTCCCTCCCCCATGAAATGAAAAAAAATCAATACGTATGTGATAAGCAATTTCATTATGTAAACACATGCTGTTTTTGTATAATTTTATACACTTATCAAATCCAACAATCTACACCTGGTTTTGTTATCTTTATCAAATGGTCAACTTGATAACAACGTAAACAATTATGCCATCCTGATGAACGACGATTACGCTGTTATATAATGCAAGTTGAATGGATTTATTAAATTCTGATAAAGCTATCAGGAGCATCAGCATTAAGTAGCGAAACGTCAGTAAAGACGACGATATCGTTTTGCTCTTTTTCATTCATACTGGGAAATACAAAAAGAACTTTTATTATTATTATAATTATTATATTTCATTTCAGTTTTTTTCTTTTTGAGTAGATGAAATACAAAAGTGAAAACATGATGTCAGATAAATAACACGAATACATTCTTTGATTGACTCAAGGAAGAGCATATCCTTTATCATCTTCTTTAAATTGAAATAACCTAACTGTGAAGGTGTTGCAGTTTTCAATTTATATAAAAATAACCCTGACATTGTTTTCACCTTTTGCATTTTTTTCTAAAATACATCGACGCATATTCACACACACATGCACACACTCACCTTACCCTACTACTATTACCACCTTCAATAACTTTGTTATGCAAATTGTGATAACATCTCAACTGTTATTATAAAGCAAAAAAAGGGAGAGAAAAAATGCAGTTTCATCACCATATAATATATATGGTCTACATCAAAGTAACCATGTGTGTCTTACACAAAATTTCTGCATTTGTTCAACCAGAAAATGTTATAAACCTGTTTAATATAAACTTACATCAGTTGATTTGCCCTTTACACAGCTAGCTATGCATATACGGTTAATTTAGAAAAGGATAAGTATTCGCGTTTTGATAGTCAGTCAACAACACACAGCTTAATTTTAATGCAAGCCTGTTGGTTGTGTCGTTACCTGTGTTTGAATAGCGAATGGGTTAACTCTAAAGGTGAGCGTCGTTTGATGTAATTTCAGGCAGTCATTTAGACATTCAAGTGTTGGTTTGTAGGGATTTGATTGATTGGTTACAGGATTTCATCATAAGCTGACATTAGTTAGAGAACCATTGGAAAACCTGCAAGGAGTACTGGACAGCTGTTTCGTCCTAGTTTGGGGCTCTTCATCAGTACGCACCCACCGGGATTCGACATCCAGGACCTTCTGGTTACATGGCGAGCTCGTATACCATTAGGCCACTGGGACCCAATCCAATAGCCCATGAATTCTAACTTCTGCCAATTCACGACATAGCGAGACTTCTAACCTTGTATACAGCATGTCCTGAGTTCGAATCCCGGTGGGCGCGTACCGCCGAAGAGTCCCAAACTAGGACGAAACAGCTGTCCAGTACTCCAAGGTTTTTCAATGGTTCTCTAACTAATGTCAGCTCATGATGAAATCCTGTAGTCATTTTAGACGTTGAACCAGAATAAATTGTCTTATAAAGTAGGGGATACATAGATGCAAAATGAGAGGGTCCCTTTGTGTTCACAAAATATTTTCCAAGATGTATACAGTTATGATAGTTTCGTTTAGCTGTTATGTATGAAAATGTCTGTTTTCACACATAGAACTTTGCACCAATGTGCAGCAGATCAAGTCGCCACACTCTCTCCTTGTAGCACACAAAGCAAGAGAAGGAATTAAAAAGAAATGCATAATGGAGACAGTAAACAGGGATATGAGACGAAAGGAATAATAATAACGAAGGACAATATAGCTTCATTGAAAATTGTAAGTCGCAAGGACTGGATGCATCCGCATCAGCCATTGAGAACGATTTTGCGCTACATAACCGATTGTCTCCAGCCAGTGATTGGTGTTTACCGTCACGAGGACCCCAACCAGTCAGGAAGTCTACACCTTCCTACGTGGCCGGCTGGCTTAAACTAACTGTTGTGGATTTCATTGACTGGTGCCATGTATGAAACGCATAGGAGCATGTGTTCTATGTCCCGTATGTGTTTGGTGGTGGTAGAATAAGGTGAGCAATATTGAAGCCAGGTAGGTGGGAGGGGAAATCAATAGACGAGGTGGTTGTGGATTTACATAAATTGAGAGATATTTTTAGGACATGTGTTACGCATGCATGACTAGCCTAGCCATCCACCGCCTTCATCGACCAACGAGCAATGTTAGCTGACTGACGCAGGATGTATGAAGTTAGAGAAGAGTCAGCTAGTGGTGGTCAAACGAAAACATGGCTTCATCAGTCAATGAAATCCACAACAGTTCAATTTGAGCCAGACAGTCACATAGGGAGGGAAGTATATACTTCCTGGCTGGCTGGTTGGGGTGATCAGGATGGTAAGAACCAATGACGGCGCCTGAAGACAATCGGTGATATGGCTCAAAATTATCGTTGTCAATGGCTGTCGCAGATGCATTCACTCTTTGTGATTTATAATATCCAATGACATTCTACTGTTCTTCCATATCACTATTCTTTTTGCCTCACTCACACTTCTATTCATTAGCTCTGTCTTTTAATAAGTCCTTTATTTCTCTCTTCTCTTGCTTTGTGTGGTACAAGGTGGGAGTGTGTCAAGTGGAATCAGTGCACATCAGTGCAAAGTTCTACTTTGAAAACAGTCAGCCACATACAAAACGATAATGAATATAATTGGTGCAATGATCGATTAAAAATTTATCAAAGATACGATTTATTATGTCAAAAGTCCTATACTTCCGCCTACACTTCTTTCCTGCTCCCTCACAACTTAATCTTTCTCGGGCTACTTAAGAAAGATTTTGTTATACTGCGAAGAGCACTTAAATCTGTCAGTAGGGGGAGTGGGGTGTTGCTAAACCAACTCGTTAATACTATTGTAGACAGACACATGGATTCCGGTAAGAAATTAGCAAATATATAACTCTAATTCAAGGTTATTGAAGGTGATAGAAGCACTTTGGATTAATCACATACAGCCTAAACTGTGTGTACAAAAATCAATAGTCTTTAATCTTCGCCTACCCTGGACTACTTGACCTATCTAAATATGATTGGTCATTAGTATGTACTTTTGTTTTTATTTAACTGAGTGATTGTCATGAACTTGATTTTATTATTGTTAACCATGTTAGTTGTAAAGCGGTTGTAAAGAAACTACGAAATGACGATATCATCTCGCGAAATTTGTCTTCTAAATGCCTTATTCAAATATTATCTTGTCGGACTCTGAACATACTCTCCATACACGACTCTTTCCTTGCATCTCATCGGGTAGAACTAGAGGCAGCTATAGAAGGCTGTATGCTCGGATAGCGAAGTACAAAATCTCTACAATACCTTATTTGGCGAGCACACATTATATGTGGTGAGAAAAATGTAAGACAGTAAAGGGATTACCAACTTTACTGAGAAACTTTAAGTAAACGACCCTTCCCTTGTTTTCATTATTATTGTTAATATATATATTCACTTAATTTAATTTAATATTCATTTCTTTTTATGGAACAGTATTATCGATGCAAAATAACCTATTTTAATTATTATCCCTGTAATAAGAAAGTTAGTTGCAATTCTGTAATACTCACATGCTGAAAATTCCACATTTGTACCAAAAGTAGTTTTTACGAGTTGATCACGGATTGATATCAGTTAGAGAACTATTGAAAACCACAAGGAAGTACTGGACAGCTACTGTTTCATCCTAGTTTGCGAATCATCGTCAATCAATCCATGATGAACTCGTAAAAACAGAACTAATCCTTACAAGCCAACTATAGAAAATTAGTCTGATGCAGGATGGAGTTTCCTGGAGTTCTAGTGAGAAGTCATGACCAGTGAAGTCCATCCAGTCACGTGTGAGGATGGATGTCCCACCGACGACAATGGTTGGTGGTCGCATTAAATTACGAATTGATAGAAGTTAGAATTCATGGGCCATTAAATAAGGTCACAGTGGCTGAATGGCCTTGTAGCCGGAAGGTCCTGGGTTCGAATCCTGGGGATGGGTGCGTACTTCCGATGATTCCCAAACTAGGCTGACGAAACAGCCGGGCTTTCTAGTACTCCAGTGCTGGTTTTCAATAATTCTCTAACTGATATGAATCCATGATCAATTAGTAAAAGGAAGAGTAAACCTTACAAACCAAACTATAGGAAAAGAAACCAAAAATAGTGTTTGGAATAAAGCTATCACAGTTAAAGAACTAATTGTCAGCTCATGTTGTAATTCCCTTCAACCAAGTAAACAAAATCCCTACAAAAACAATACTTGAAAATATTATTATTATCACTATTATTATTCGGCGTACAATTAGGCAGTTTCATCGTCGTATTTCTGAACATCATCCAGCGTGGTTAAGCAAGGGACAAACGAGATCTATTTGTAGTTCTATTTTAGTACACCTTGTTGATAATGAGCACAAGGTTGATGTGAATATTGCATTTAAAATTATTTATCGCATTCCAACTAATCTTAACTTTGCTCTACGAGTTCGTCTTCTACAGACAGCTGAAGCAATAGGAATCCACCAGAAGAAACCAAGCCTATGTGTACAGCCACTTTCCTTACCGTGGCCATCGTCACAAGACAGGACTACGTCGCCCCCCTCCCCCTATTAAATTATAATTGTCCAAATTATTTTATTTTTATTTTGACCACTTCATCTTTAATTACGTGTTATCCTTGTAAAATTAATTTATTCTAACCATTTCTACCTTTTAAATGTGTATTGATTTTCTGCACTAATTATCAACTCATTGACATTTTGACACTGTTTAATTATTGTTAACAAACACATCGCCACTTGATTGGTAAATTGTTGTAGAGTAGAGCCAGAGATGAGGATCTAAATGAAAAGTAAATATTTCTTCGCTGCTCAATCTTTCTGTTTTCCAAATAAGTTATTGGTAGTGTGATTTCGAAAGAAATCATAGGGGACGCCTAGTAACTAAGTGGATATTGTAGAAATCACAACTCAGGAAAGAGTAGACTTCATTCCTTATAACTATGAGAACAATAATTGAAGTTAATCACTCTGTAGAGAATACATTCCGATTTGATGAATTTTATCTAATTTCATCAAAAATTAACCTTGGGTTTGTGTGTGTGTGTGTGGACGGGGAGTTCTTTAACCGACCAATCACAAACTAGGAATATATATATATGCATCAAAAACCAACCAATCACGAATAAGTAAGTATTAAGTTAGTAATTAAACCGGCCTTAATTATTTGCTTATGCAAGACAGCATTCGTTTATTACTTGGATGCATTCCATGGCATTGCACACATTGCCAAAAAAATAGACATACAGAATAGAAGAAAGAGTATTTTAATAAGCAAAGTTTCTTGTAAAAAACATACAGAAATAAAAATGATTATGATAACATGTGTATTATAAATATTTATCCACCAATAAATAATATACGACATGAATTTGATGAATAATTATGAAAATAATCATAATAATTCATTTGAATTGATATCAGTGACATCACAATCGTCAGCGCTATCACCATCATCACCGACATCATCACCATCGTCGTCATCATCATCAACAACATTATCCTCCCTGGTACGCTCCTCGTCCACAGGTGTCGAATGTACAGTTATACCAAGTTTAAAACACTTTGAACAATTCTATGCATCATATCATGCTTATCTAGCCTGTATAATCTGTTTATTCGGTACAGGAACTAATCTATTGAATGCTATTGTTCTGACACAAAAACAAATGCATAATCCAACAAATACACTATTAACTGGTATAGCTATTGTAGATAGTTTAAAAATGCTTGGTTATGGTTTACAAGTGATTTATCTACACTTTATGACATCCCCGTATCCAGATAAATATCCACATAGTCAGCTGGCTGTCCACTTAATACTCATTCATCATATGCTTAGTATTGGTAGTCATACAATATCAACATGTTTACTGGTTCAATTAGCTATTTATCGTTGTTGGATATTATATTCGAATAAATTAAAAGATGTATTAAAACTGAAAAGACAGTCTATGCGAAAGTGGTTAATGATATCATCAAAGAAACGTTTTATTATTTATTGTTATATTAGTGCTGGCCTATTAGGCAGTGTATTATGCTTGCCAACATTTATTATATATCAATGTGAATTAATTAATATAACGACTACGTTAGAAGGCCACAATGACAATAATCACACCGTGAATGTCGGTCATAATAATACCGGTACTAATGTAACTGATAATCAACAATTATTATACTATTGGTTTAAATTACGCAATACCAGTGGGCAGACATTAGAACGTGTCCACTTTATTCTCTATGGATGTTTTGTAAAGATTTTAGCCTCAATATTGATTGTTATTTTTACAATATTTATATTAATTGTATTACATGAAGCCCGAAAAAGGTATAAAAAGTTACAACAATTACCAATTGAAATACATATTAATGATGATAATAATAATAATAATAGCAACAACACCCACAACATGAACACCAACAACACCACCAACAAGAACAACAACGGCGATCAGATGGTAATGATGACGATGAAAGAGGCATCAAAAAATCATCATAAGCATTTACAAGTCAATAATACTATAACACCTGACCATAAAAGTATTAATAATAATAATAATAACGCTAATAATGTGAATAATGACCACGGTGTACACCGACCCTACCAGAATAAACTGAAACCAAACCAATCAATACTATCATTAACAATAACTGAGAATCCCATAGCCATGTTACAAACATCTGGATTAGATATTAGTCATAATGATTACATAAGAAAATTACAATCTAATCATCATCATAATAATAACATGCTTACAAAAAATAAACAACAAATTGTTACAAAAAGTCTATCAAATCGTTTGCGTAAAAAAGCACGTGAAGGCCAACGTGTCACTATCATGTTGATAATAGTTGTGATTAGTTTTGTGATAACAGAAGCACCACAAGGTGTATTCAATACACTTGTTGCAATAAAAGGTGAATGTTTTTTAAGTACAATTTATGTCCCATTAGGTGATATATTAGATTTATTAGTATTATTAAATTCATCAATCAATTTTATACTTTATTGTGCAATGTCACAAAAATTTCGAGTGAATTTTGTAAATTTATTGAGAAAAATGATGTCATGGTGTTGTCGACTGTGCTGTTTTCAATGTCATCGTCACCATGGTCATGGTCATGGTCATCATTATCCTAACATCGAGCATTCTCATGATGATAAAGGCAATAGTGATAATGACTATCCTGTGATGACAAACCATAAGAATGAAATGAAGGAATGATAACGAAAGTGAGTACAGTACAATAGAGAAGAGTAGAGTGTAACTGTGGTTGGCTAACACATATGTGCTGAAGTGATTCAACTGAAATATTGATCACTATACACCAGAGCAGCATAGAACCATTAGGAAGAACTATAAAGATGTGTATAGAGATGCAGAATCTCATCTCTTTTATATATATACAATGTATGACTATTTTTTCTCTCCCAAGGCTACCTTCGTGTGTATGTGATTTGTTTTTGTGTTTTTTTTCAAAATATATATTCAATGGTTATAAATTGACTTGTTAATATTATATGTGACTATTGGATGTACACTGTGTGAATAGAAGTCAGTGAGATATGAAGCAGCAAACACACTTAGTGAATAGCAATAAAGTATGCTGACTAACTGACTGATTGGTTTCAACGCAGAACAAGCAGTTCGAGTCTCCACTCTCCCTCTTCGTAGCACATAAACACCAAGAGAAGAAAGTAGAAGAAATGCAAAATGGAGACAGTAAACAGAGATATGAGATTTTAAAAAAATAGTAATACCTAAGATCTACATAATTCCATTGGATATTATAAGTGCATCTGCGACGGCCATTGACAACGACGACTTTAAGCTGTATATATCACCAATTGTCTCTAGCTACCGGCATTGATTTTTACCGTCCTCAGGACCCCAATCAGTCAGAAAGTCTACAAACGATGATTAGAGACAAAGGGCTATTTATTCGTCATTTTCTTATCTATACACTATGAGTAATGAAAAATAAATCTATTGTATGATCTTCGCTAAAGTGCATTTGACATATATTGTACATCTAGTTAAGGATTTGAATGAGACGCCAAACTTTCACATTGGAGATAGTTATCTAAGTAAGTTTTGATGATTGGTGAAACAGTGAGAATAGTTGGTAACAGGATTTCATTGGTTAGAGAACCATTGAAAACCTACACCAGAGTACTGCACAGTCAGCTGTTTCGTCAGACTAGTTTGGGACTGATCCTTCAGCGGTACGCACCTACCACCAGAATTTGAACCCAAGACCTTCCGGTTACAAGGCAAGCTCGTAGACAAATACTCACCAAAGACATTGGCTAACGGTCGCGCTATATCGTGAATTGTTAGAAGTGGGAATTCACGCACTGACCACTGGATCGGGGTCCCAGAGGCTTAATGGTCTACGACCTCGCAAGCCATGTAACCAGTAGGTCGTGGGTTCGAACCCCTGTAACAGATGCGTACTAATGAAGCGTCAGTTCCAAACTAGGTTGATGAAAAAGCTGTTTAGTATTCCCTGTGGCTGGATTTCCCGATATCAGCTCCTCATGAAATCCTGTAAACAACCAGACGAATCCTTACAAACTAATACTTGAAAAGTGAGAATAGTCTCTTTTGTAATGCCATCAAAAGGTTTCTATTTTTGATCAAACAGCATGAACCACCAAGAAGGTTTTGAGTAGATTTGTCACTACCTCTTGATCTACGTCTGTAGAAAATACCTAACCATAAGTCATAACATATACAGGGTGGATATTTAACGCGTAAAATTGAAAAAAAGATGATGTAGGCAGATAAAATAGATCTATCGTACATAATAGACCTACAGATATCTTGTGAGAAGCAAGCTGCACCAGTTGTTCCAGATTGGTATTAGTCGTAGGTAGTGTACTGGTCACAGGTAGGTCGAAACACCAACAGATATATGGCCATCACCAAAAGTATACATATTAAGTGGTTTTGGGATTTTTTGATTTCTTTCACTTGTTAGAAAGTATTTCTTCTTAAAATTTATTACACAAGTGAGTTTTCTAGAAGTTTGCTTAGATTTTCAACAACTAGAAAGCCCAATTAAATAACAAACACACGCACACACACAGAAGTAAGGATTACAGTTGATTAGTTAGCACTGTAAGTTCAAGTGTACATGGTTTTCATTGTGAACAGTCTGAGCTTTTAAAAATCAAAATCTCCATGATATATAAAAGATGGTAGGTAATTGCGTCGGTGGCACAGCAGTAGAGCGCCTCGCCAGCCACGCCACACGTGGTTCACGATTTGATCCCCGGCCACCCACGCACTCCTTTACCTCAAAAAGCTAGTAATAAGACTGGTAAAGAAGGAAGGTTGGGCATAAGGCTGGCTGGCAGGCAACCCCAGCCCGTAAAAATAAACACCACTGCTACTGAAATTTCAAGCCTCTAGCTTGAGGGTAGTAAATGAATAGAGAGAAAAAAGAAGATGGTGACCATGAGCGTAACAATGACTATCTACACAAAATATCTTCTGTTTGACAGTAAAACTATTTAATTAATTTTCCGATAAAGAAAGTCATATTGAAAAAAAACAGCTTTTTGACCCGGCAACGTGTTACATGAGAACAGACTTCTTCACCTTTCAGTCAGGAGACGTGAAACAACACTTTCCACCTTAAGAAATCGACGATGAAATAAAAAAAGGCAGCATTGTTGCTGCATCAATCAAAAATTACGTTGGTTGAGATAAAAAGATCAAGTGATTAAGGAGTGTACGAAAATGTAAATGAATCCGTGTACGTGTATGAAATGAAAATGTTCAATTCATTACATTACTGATTCCCATCTCCCGTTCTCATCGATTACATTTGTTTTGCACACTGGATATCTCGATACTTAGGTTATTTAAAATATCTTCGTTTACGGATATCATTATGTCATGAAGTGAAAATACGATCATTAGATTTTTTAAAGTTTCTTTGTCGAATAAATTATTACCGAGGTTTCAGAATTACATCATGAACTGATATCGGTTAGAGGATTATCAGAAAACCAACCACAAGGAGTACTGGACAGCCAGCTGTCTCGTCAGCCTAGTTTGGGACTGACACTTTAATAGTATGCACCCACCACATGGCGAGCTTGAAGAGTATTAAGCCACTGGGACTAGACACAATGACCAGCACATGAATTACTATTTCTTCCAATTCATGATATGACGCGACCACTAGCGATAGAAATATTCGCCGACGACATTTGCTACTAGTCACACTATAATATCACCAGTTCGCAAAGGTTAGAATTCGTGAACTAATCAATGGGTCGGGTCCATGTGGCCAAATGGTCTACAAGCTCGCTAGCCTTGTAACCAGAAAGTTATGTTTTCAAAACCTGGCGGTGGGTGCGTACTGATGAAGAGTCAGTCCCAAACTTGGCTGACGAAACAGTCAGCTATCCATTACTCCCTGTGGCTGGTTTTTTAATGGTTCTCTAATCGATGTCAGTTCATAATGAAATCCTGAAACCAATCAAATCGAATCCTTGCAAACCAACACTTAAAAGAGAGGTATTAATTTAAAGAGAATTTGATAAAACTTCTTGGAGTGGGTGGGGGCTCGGTTATGACTACAATGAGAAGATCACAAGCAGCTGCAAATCATTTTTCTCGAAGGAAAAAAAATCAAATGGTACCAAAAAGATAAGAATAGGAGTACACTGCTAGATTTTTTTCATTATACCTTGATTCCATACAGTAATTTTGGTACAAGTATAGAATTTTCAGCATGTGATATCGGTAGCCCGAATTTTGCAAGTTGACCAATTAATATCAGGTGTGAGTCGGCAGGGGATTGAGCCCCGGATAATGTATATGGTCGACGAGTCCTAACCGCTGTGCCACCTTACTTATAGTACGAATAAAAGTGTATCATTGTGTTTTTTACCAAATGTAATTATTCTGTAATAAAATATCGAAAGTCTGTATAACTAAAAGGGTCGAGCGTTGGTGGCACAGTGGTAGAGGGTTGCCAACCACGCCACATGTGGTTCAGAGTTCGATCCCCGGCCACCGCCGTACTCCGTTACCTCGCTAAGCCATTAAAAGAGTTGGACATGCGGCTAGCTAGTAAGCCCATCCTGTAAAAATAAACAAACACCACTGCTAACGAAACATGAAAGCTCCAGCTTGAAGCCCCATGTTCCACTGGAAACGTAATGGAATCAAATAATAATAATATACAAGGAATGAAACAGAAAATTAATCTGATGCTCGCTAGTGACAAGCTACAGGATGGAGTTTCCTGGAGTTCTAGTGAGAAGTCGTGACCAGTGAGTTTCAACCAGTTGTCACGTGTGAGGATGGATGTCCCACCAACGACATTGGTTGGGGTTACACTAAATCACGAATTAGCAGAAGTTAGAATTCATGAGCCATTGAATCGGATCCCAGTGGATTAATGGTATACGAGCTTGCCTTGTAACCGGAAGGACCTGGGTTCAACCCCTGGTGATGGGTGCATACTTCCGATGATTCCCAAACTAAAATGAAACAGCTGTCCAGTACTCCAGTGCTGGTTTTCAATGGTTCTCTAACTAATATCAATCCGTGATCAACTCGTAAAAACAAAACTAACCCTTACAAACCATACTATAGAAAATTTAACTTTCTCCTGTAATTGCAACTTTTCCAATGATATATTAAGCTATAATAAACATTATATTGTAATACTGCTTAGCTGCTGCTGCTGTCAAGACTAAAGGTGAGAGTGGAATTAACACTGTAGACTAAAAAATTCAATAGTTGGACATTTGATCAATATTTCTCAGCTGATATAAAAGAAAAAAACCCAGTACGTAATCTAATTTTGACAGTTAGCCAATAAAATGACAAGAGAAGGAATGAAAGATGGATTTGTGCATTTAAAGAAATTATAGAACAAGCCACCATACTTCTCTCTTTGAACATTAAACATATATTTGTAAATTCTTTGAGTAAAAATCACTAAACTTGTATACATATTGTAGATCTCTACACCATCTAAGTAGCGGTTAGCTTTGATAAAGGATGATAATTTCCCTATATTAGGAGTTGTTAACACCAGCAAGAGTAGAACCTGTATCAAATTCAATCTAAATTCTCCTGTCGATTGATTGGAATGAAGTGCCCGCTCTCAGGTTAACATGTCGGCTCCTTGTTCAGATGCACCGACGATGTCTGGTCATGTAATTGGTGGATGAGGACTAGCAGTGGAATCAAGGACAACACGCATTTCATCTTTTTCGGGACTCGTCAGTCAGCTGAATGTATCTGCATGCTCCAGTCGGTCAGTGATGGTGTTCCTATCGAGGCCTGAATATGAGCAGACATCGTCGAAGAATTTGCACAAGCAACCGACACGTCAACTTGAGACCGAGCATTTGGTTCTAATCATCAATCGACGGGAAAATCTAAATTAACAAGACCCGTGTTACACAAAAGGCAATGGCTCTCGTGACCCAAAGAGTCTAGTGAACAACGCTTTGGCATCTGAAACTATGTGTACTGGGTTCGAGCCACGGTGGGAACACCAACACTCACTGACTGGAGGAATGCAGGTACATCCACTATCTGAAGAGTCCTGAGTAGGGGACGTAAATGAGCGTTATCCTGTATTCTACCGTTAGTCACCCATCTTTCAATTATACATGTATCTCATGATGACGATTACAATCTTTTAAGATATTTGTTTAACTTGAAGATTTACAAAGAACACATATCATAAAGTTTGAAAGATATATTGGAAAATTTCCAAAAATATGAGTATCAGACAACTTCCATACAACTGTAGGCCTCCGCAGTTTTACCATATTAGGAGGGGACATCTGAGACCCTACGTAGGATTCTTAATAAAGCAGGAATTAGAGTGGCATTTAAACCTACAAACTCACTCAGGCAGCGACAAGCTCTGTACGTCAAAGGACCTTGTCGGTTGACCCAATTAAACAAAATAATATAATTCACAAAATACCTTGCAACGACTGTGAGTTAAATCAGCTACATAGGTAAAACTAGTGGATCAGGAGTGGTCACATTATCAGAACATAAGAATTTAGCTAAGGTTAGAATGATTGCCCCTACCTACGAAGATAAGTAATTCAGAAAAAAGTTCAACATTTTCACTACATGAATTAACTCACAACCACAAATTAGGGTGGTGGGAGAGGGTTAGAATTCTAAGAAGTAATATAAGAAGGTGAAGAGAGAGTTTGATCACTGACTGAATCTTTGTTCATCGAATAATCTACACCCAACAAGTGCAATAGAATGTCATGACTTATCAGCCATACCAATCAATTCAAAAGATTACAAATAGTGGAACCATATAAACGAAGTTGGAAAGTTGTGTGAATAACTTGATATGATTATGAGCAGTAATAATTGTGCTCGAAACGTCATTCATGGAATTCATATTACTCTGTATAATCATAGGAAAAAGTGTGTGTAATTTGTCCTATTGTGGTGAGAGCTAACTGTAAACCAAAAATTGTAAACAACAATTCACGTCAATGATTACGTCCCGAATCGACTTCATGAGAAAAAAAAAATAACAAAGCTTAACCTTGAAAAACTCACCAACTAATCACAACGTGTGCAAATACGATTCGCAGATATATGGCCTAACTTTCTAAGAAACAGCCACAGAGAGTTGACAGAAAAACCTTCAACAAGAAAACAACCAATCAGAAGACGCTACTTCTTCACTGACAATAATATACATAAAAAGCTATAAATATCTGTTGATTTTCTCAATAAACAATCTGTTGTCTGACCATTGTCTTCTGTCGTTACACTATAAGTTAATTTTAGAAGGAATTCCGGGGATATATATATATATATGCATACACAGACTTCCCTTTAGTCAAGTTACATAAATAAATACGTAATTAGTGAAGCTTTATGTTGTAAAATCAGTTGTAAAGAAAAAAAACAAATCAACAAAATACAATCAAAAAACACAAAAGACTTACCGTTAAAAGTTGACATGATATAATCTGCCACCATAAATCTAATCGATGGACATTAACCAATCCAATTTCAGTTAATTTTGCAATAGGGAATTCACTTGGTTCCTAAGATGAAAGAAAACCAAAAGAAAGCAAGCAAGTAAGCAAGTGTAAGCAAGCAATTAATCTGTCGACAGGAAATGAGAGAAAAAAAGAAGGAAAGCATATTGATTAGTGATGTAATTTACTGATTAGAATACTTACACTAGGGGAAAAGCAAAGCAAAGGTGATTAATTTAATTAGTACACTACGCATTGTGTATCTCAATAATAGAATTAACAACAGGACAGTAATGCATAATAATAATAATAATAGTAATAACATTTGACAGATCATGTTAATGTTGTGAAGAGGAGTGAAAAGAACCTACACACACAAAAGTATATGAGGGATGAAGCGAGAGAACAGCTGATTAGTAGTAAGAGCTTTCTTGAGAAGAAAACAAAACAGAGAAAGTTAGCCATGATGATGTCATCATGATGATGTGTACACCGTTGAATTAGGAACTAAATTAGGGATTCGATTTGCTATTAATGCAGTGTGATGTGTGCTGAAACCAAATTCCCAAATGGATAGTATAAAAAGTGGAATGCTACAAAAGTGGAATTTGTAATATATAATTTCATAACTGCCACTAAAAACAAAAACTAATAGTCAAAAGGTCCCACACATCTTAATCGAGAACACAACTTATACGTGTACGTAACTTATTTCATGTGAAAGATGGAGTTTCCTGGAGTTCTAGTGAGAAGTCGTGACCGGTGAGATTCAACCAGTTGTCACGTGTGAGGACTGTTGTCCCACCAACGACATTGGTTGGGGTCGCGCTATATCACGAATTGGTAGAAGTTAGAATTCATGAGCCATTGAATCGGGTCCCAGTGGCTGAATGGTATACGAGTTTGCTTGCTTGTAACCGGAAGGTCCTGGGTTCGACCCCTGGTGGTGAGTGCGTACTTCCGATGATTCCCAAACTAAAATGAAACAGCTGTCCAGCACTCCAGTGCTGGTTTTCAATGGTTCTCTAACTAATATCAATCCGTGATCAACTCGTAAAAAATCAGTAAGCCTTTGCATCGATAATAGATGGTTGGAGGTGATTGGCAGGAATCCTTCACATGACCTAGGTTTCGTGCTGGTTGGCACTCACCGCTTGTCAGAAAGGCAGGTGTATCTGCAACCTTGAATGAAAGAACTCATATATCTAATCAAAAGTATCCAATACAGTCAGTCCTACAGGAGGTCGGGCAATCGCTAGGCCAAATACTTGCTCAATGGTAATGTGTCCCTTTAAGGTTGCAGATATGCCTTGGTCAATGGTGACTGCCAACTAGCACGAAACCTTTGTCCAGGGCAAGGATTCCTGTAACCGATTGCCTCCAACCATCTAATATCAAAAATTCAAAGTGACAGCAAGCCACATAGTGGTATGGTGGCCACATTGCAAAATTGACTGATACAATTCACTCTGCACCAAACATACGACTAGACAGATGACAGTATCCAATCAAAAGCCATAATACTGTCTATTCTTCTATCAAGGGTGCCACAATTATCGTAATCAGTATTACTGACATATTGAGAGATGGAATCCCAGCAGAAGCATTGAAAACGGACCCAGAGACAACAGCGGACTTGATGACGCCACTACTGGAGAAGGTGTGGAAAGAAGGTAAAGTACACGAGGATTGGAAGAAAGGATACTTATTCAAACTACCAAAGAAAGGAGACCTAAGTCAATGCAAGAACTGGCGCGGAATTATACTCCTGTCCATCACAAGCAAAATACTAAGCCGCATCATCCTGGAGAGAATCAAACATACCCTGGATGAAAAACTCCGACCGAACAGGCTGGATTCAGGAGAAACAAGTCATGCATTGATCAGATCGCTACGTTGCGGATCATCATCGAACAAAGCTTGGAGTGGCAGTCACCTCTCTATCTCAACTTCATCGACTTTGAAAAGGCCTTTGACAGCGTCGATCGAGAGGTGATCTGCAAACTACTTCGCTACTACGGGGTGCCACTGACAATTATACATCTCATCCAACAGCTATACGACAATGCTGCATGCCAAGTAATCCACAACGGGAAACTTACGGAACCCTTCGAAGTGAGGACAGGAGTAAGACAAGGCTGCCTACTATCGCCAATGATTTTCTTGATTGCAGTAGATTGGATAATGCAACAAACAGCAGGCAATGAGGAAACAGGCATAAAATGGACTCACACAAAAAACTTGGAGGATCTGGACTTCACGGATGATATATGTCTGATTTCCCACAAACTGGAAGATATGCAAGCGAAAAGCAACAAGTTGACAGAAGAAGCATCAAAGATAGGACTTCAGGTGAACATAGATAAAACAGAGGTGGTGAATATTCCTGGGCAACACCACCAACAGCAACAACAACAACTGACAACAATCAGCATAAATGGGAGGAACCTGAAAGAAACAACCTCCTTTACCTACCTGGGAAGCATCGTTTCAACTACAGGCGGAACTGACGAAGATATCAAAGCAACGAGGATCGGAAAAGCAAGACAAGCTTTCACTACTCTCAAGTCTGTGTGGATGTCAACAGCACTCAGCATGGAAATGAAAATAAGATCTGGATTTTCAACTCCAATGTGAAGTCAGTGCCACTTACTATCGTACGGATCAGAGACTTGCACTGCGCGTCATAAAGAGCATCTCAAACAAACTACAGACCTTCATTAACGGTTGTCTTCGCTCAATACTCAAGATCAGATGGCCAGAAAAGATCAGCAACAGGGATCTCTGGGAGCGAACCAACCAGGAACCGATTGTGAAACAAATAGGCAGGAAGAAATGGAGATGGATTGGCTGGCCATACTCTGAGGAAACCATCAAGTGAGTGACATCACTAGACAAGTCATTGCTCGAGTGGAACCCGAAAGGGAAGGGGTGAGTTGTTCGTCAGTGCAAGGGTGACTTGGAGGAGGTCATGTGAAGAGGAGATGAAAACGTGTGGGCAGACTTGGAGCCAGGTGAACATGCTAGCAGAGAACCGAACGCAATGGAGACGCATGGCTGAAGCCCTATGTTCCTGTAGGAATTAAAGGATACAATAATAATAATAATTGTATTGTCTAAAGTTTTTTACAAGTCTTTACGTCGAAGCAGAGTTCATCCCAATAAGAAGACACTGAAACAGACTCTTTATCTACTTATTAACAAGATAACGAAATGAATATCGCTTGCAGACAATATGCAGTAGATTTGAACTGGCAGAAAGGAACTTAGAAAGCCTTTTATGGAATAAGTTATTCAGGTGTGTGAACGAAGAACACAGAAGTAAGTAGCAGAAAGAGCTTATGTGAAAGGATTTTAAAACAAGTTAGAGAGGCCAGTAAATTTCTCGCAGATCCTAAAAACTACAACCGAAGTTATAGTAATGTTGAATTGAATAAGGTACAAGTAGCAGTACGTTTCCTTGGCCTTAGATTTTGTGATAGACGGAAACCAGTCAATCACTTAGATACTGATAATGAATTTGAAAACTGTTTTCAGTCAAACAAAGAATCTATTTCCATCATCCACCCCCGTGGAACTAGAACGTCTCGTATTCAGTCTAGTGGATTGTTGTTATCAGCACAAAAAAGTTTCTTGACAAAGCAGTAAAAAGGAGAAATACAGAAAAAGATATATGAAAAAAGACTGATAATCACAGAACCTGATAAAGGATTAGGAGTATTTCCTCCTCGATAGAAGTGACTATATTAAATAGATGAATGATATATCTGAAGACGCAGAGAAGTTTCAAAAACTTGAGGAGAAACACTTCGATAATAAAATAGAGAACGAATTAACCAGACGTTTGAAGAAACTAAGGGAGGAATAGATATTTCCTGAAAGGTGATATGAAGAAATCAGGCCACCTGGCACATGTACACATCGAGATTGTTATGGCCTACCTTGAGTAAATAAACCAGGGGCACCGTTAAGAGCAATACTTCATAAGCGTGAAAGATTTATTTGAATTCGTAAACAAAATCAAAGATAAAACTATGATATCTTCGGACATAACATTTTATTCATAAATGTACCTTTAGTAGAAGCATATGAGAGAAAGCATATAACCAGTCGACAAATATTAGCATCCGAACGGAAATCCTAGAAGAATTCTTATTAAGGTGTACGTTGAATGAAAATTTCAAATTTGATGCCCCATTTTAGAAACAAGTGGATGGGGTGGCGATGGGCTCCCCATCGGCACCCATGTTGGCAGGTTTCTTTATAAGTAAAATAGAAAATGGACCTTTCAACAACCTCATCCGAAAATTCTCATTTTATTGCCAGTATATGGATACCACCCTTATTCTCTGTGATATTGATTCGGATAGGAACACCATAATAACTCAGTTGAATGCAGTGCATTTTGCTATGAAATTCACTTGTGAATAGGAATACCAAAATAGAATTATTGCCTTCCTGGATGTCCTCCTTACAAGAAAACCAGATGGTAGTATAAAGAGACATTTGCATAGGATAAACACATGGATAGGGCAATATACCCATTTCTACAGCTTCGTTCCTCTCCAGTACAAAAGAAATTTAGTAAGCACCGTCAGTCATAGGGTTAGAGCTATGTGCTCAGAAGAGGCAATTGAAGATAAACTAAGGATTGTACATGATACCCTGATTGACAATACCTATCCACGCAAATTCGTCAGAAAACATATGACTGAGAAACTTGAAAAGAACTAGTTACTCACTATCCGTAAACAAGAAACCTTTATACACAGGACTGCAATTCAATGGCGGTATACCTAGCGAAATAATCACGGAGAAGTTAAGAAAATCAGTTCAAAGAACTTCTAGTGCTGGTAAACTACAAGTCTTGTTTTCAACACAACTGATGGTGATTCCTCAATTGAAAGATGAAATACCTAGACAAGTCACTTTTAATTGTATTTACCAATTCAACTGCGCTGTTGATGGAGCGAGTTATATTGGCCGTTGCTCTAGGAACTTGATTTTTCTTACTCGTTCGGAACCACCTACCAGTGTGGTGTGGCTAAAGTAAAGGTGTAGTGAGG